ATTGTACTTCGTTCAGTTACGTATTGCTCATCTTTTGGCTCTATTGTAATTATACTACTTTACAATGAACAAGAACTCTTTTCTCTTAGCATCTTTTAGCATATCATAAAACATAAAGGTACCTGTATCTCTAAACTTTACAATGAAACGAGGGTCTTTAATAGAACCATGTTGCTCGGCAGGGTGAAAGCGATCTTGTGTCAAACTATGAAGTCCATCATTGGCCAATCCCAGCGGACCTATATTGAAATGTCGCTACCAGCCAAACTGGATCTGAGGGTCGACCTCTTCGACGACGACGACCAAAAAATATTTTGGGCTGTTTGCGACATTGAACGTAAAACGTGCACACAAATTGCTGTTAGCTGAAAATGACCCATTGCTCTAGCAAAAACCGTTTGTTGTTTAGATACGAACTTGCCTTTATGTTGTAAGCGTGATGCTATATGAAAATTGATCGTATCAACTAGGTGGACCCTGGCAGAGCAAGATGAGGTGTGTGATTGTATGTACAGCTACGTTTGCATGAATGAAGGGGTCAATGTATAATTACTTTATGGATCATCCACGAACAGGCATGTATTGCCAGCTAACGGCCACTTTTATCCCAATCATCATTGTTGCGAGATCCATTGCATGGGAACGATGCCCCTGCTCCAGACATTCATTTCCATGATTCAATTATCTTGATCCGAGCTGATTTGGCTGAGCTACGGTCAAGGGAATTCTATCACTCAGGACACTAAAGCACGCTCGATGTAGCTCCAGCCGATGTAATCTTGTGTGAGCGTAACTCAACCAAATCAGCTCGGACCAACCTACTTTAATCATGGAAATGAATGTCTAGAAGCTTTAGCATCATCCACCTACAATAGAATGCACAAAAGTTGGGAATGCACAAAAGTGGCTATTAGCTGCCAATGTATGACATAAAAGTGAGGTTGCGTACCTGTCATGCATGAATCACAGTCCAAGCTTTTAACCCAGTTACACAAACACGTCCCTCTGCATATTTTGCTCTACTTGGGGTCAACTACTTCACAATGAACAAAAAGGCTACTTGTCATATATCACGCACACAAACATAAAGGTGCCTGTATCTCGAAACTTTACAATGAAACATTAAGGGTTTTTATTAGCGCAATGGGCTCCGGCTTGGCCAACGGCACCTTGTGTGGTTTCGCGTTCAATGTCGCAAACAGCCAAAAAATATTTTTTGGTCAATACTGTCGTCGAAGGAGTCGACCCTCAGATCGGATTTGGCTGGTAGCGACAGCCAAAATCACAGGATTGGCCACGATGGACTTCATAGTTTGACACAAGATCGCTTTCACCCCGCCGAGCAACATGGTTCTATTAAAGACCCTCGTTTCATTGTAAAGTTTAAATTAAACGCACTTTATCTTTGTCCTGCAAAGCGTGATACCTGAAGAGTTCTTTGTTCATTTATAAGTAGTATGACTACAATAGAGCCAAAGATGCAGAGGAGCGTGTTGTGTAACTTGAGTCAGTCAACACAGGCGATGCATGATACTTGTACACTATTTAGGAATGAACCTAAAATGCCCAGTCCGCCCAATCATCTTTGTTGCCCATTCCAATGCATGTGACGATTGTCGTTCTCCAGCCCATCATTCCCATCATTAAACTTTCTTGATTCGAGGTGACATGGTAGTATGGTAACAATGGGTGTTGTTGGATCATCATTATCATGTAAAGTGTAAAATGACACACATCCTTTTGCTATACGATTTCTTTTATTTACGCGTGCCTATTACTTATCGCGAGGGTGATGATGGATGATGATGGGTGAGCTGTGTGTTTGGGTGGATGGTGTGTGTGGGGTCATTGAGTGGCCTCAGTGTAATAGCAGTAGGGGATTTAAACTTGGGGTCCGGTAGCTCCACGACTTGAGACAACGCTTCCCTTTCTCTTTGTCGCTCGTCTGGTTTTATCGCCTTCACGACATTCCAATCAAGGTAATGCTCTTGTATGTTGTGAGTTATATGTATAGTTCTGACTATTCATAGGTAGGGAGTGAAGTGGTGGTGGTAGTCATGGTGATATCGTCCCTCTTCTTGTTCGTTGTTATGCCGATCCACGCTTGGTGTCAACAGGTACATTCAAAGCCCAATCTACCAGAAAAGCTTTCCCATTGACGTGTTAGCTTATATTGACGCTGCAATTCGATTGCATAGATGTTGTCTCATTTGGCTTTCGATTCAACCCGGCTACAATGCACCATGGTTTTTGGTTTGCAATAGCCAACATAATAGGTCTTTATGTATACGCAAGAGGCAAGTGCAGTGAAGAAAACGAAGAAGCCTTGCATTGTGTGTGTGAATGCTAATAATGAATGATGCTTTTTGGAATAGGTTTATGGTCAGGCAATGCATCTTTGGACATCATCATGTTTTGGGTTCAACTCCCACCTGTACCTTTCGGCCGTTTGACACCAGTGCTCTTCGTGATAGGTTGTGTTTACCCGTCGAGGATTGGAAAGATTGGGGATGGCTCTTTCTTTTGGGAGGATGAATGAGAATAACGGTGAGCCGGGGCAACAATGAAAGTGATTTTCTTTGTTGTCATGGATCGAATTGGCCTTTGGATGGATCACGTCGTCGGCTGCAGATTGGCTCTTCCACGGAGGTGATCGCCCTTGCAAGATTTTTTGGTGTTAAAGGAGACATTGCATGATGGGTTATGGATCGTCATTGTTCACGCTTGCCGTATTGTCCTGGTACTCATTGACAGCATCCCCTGGGAATTCCTACCGTTATCATGCTGAAGCAACTCTCCTCCTCATGCTCAGCAATACAATACACCAAGCTGTCCATCAGGGTCATGGTTGCCAAGACGATGATGATTGCAGATGTCGATAACAAACTTCACCTTTACATATCCAACATGACAACAACAGAACTTGCTAAAGGAGCGTTCAGCTGGCAATGACAATCGAGCAGCCTACCATTTTGAGAATCCGCTGGGTTGATGGAACGCTTATGCCATTGATGATCATGGAGGTGCGCTACACGTATGCAGCAAAGCGTTTGTATCCCGTCAATCCTTTACATTTTTCGGATCATCCCCACTACAGCAAATGCGCGATCGACAACTTACAAGCTCATGTTCGCATTTCTCCATTTTGCAGCCAAAAGGATACATACAAAAATACACTCGAGGAATCTCTTACTATCTTTAATCGTTTGTTATGTATTTGCAAGAGCAATAGCTGAACCACCTTGATTTCATATAAGCTAAATTAATCTACAAGCAAGAAGTGAATTAGCTAGTTAAGTACAGGTGGATAATAAACAATTCCATCATCGTCTTCATCATCGGTACATAGTCGAAGTAGTCATGGAAAGCATCAAAGACACAAAATGGGAGAGAGTGATGGTGTAGGGATGGGATCTTGTTGTATGCTTCTTTTTAGATGCCAACGAGGTATATATACGGGGATTCATCATGCAACGTCTTGCCAAGAGAAAGGTACAATAAACCGTGCTTGCTTGTGTTATTGTCGCTATCGTCATTGTCGATACTGCAATCATCCTCACTCCCCATCATAATCGTAATTGGCGGCTTTATGTACCTCTTTGATTACGTACCTATAACATTGTTCTGGGATGAAGAATTTTAGCACTAAGGTTCCCGAGTTTTTCAACATCGTGGGAATTGACCTTGTAAATATCCGATATCACACAGCCAATGCATAAGACTTGTTCTCTGTGGTAGGTGATGTCGTACTACACAGCGTATTTACTACAATTAGGACTTTTTTGGATTGAGTCATAACACCCACACACCTTCTCTTTCTCCCTTTCTTCATTCAAATCGACTACTCGACGACTATGGTATACCAAGAGAATCTCGCTGCTGTGCTGTATGATAAACATGATTTGCGGATGGTAAAGATCATAAAACAAGCACATTCATCTTTAAACGATAGCTGTTGTTGTATTAGGAGCCGGTCCCTATTGATGCACCACAGCGGGGAGGTGAGCTATAATCGTGTCGTGCATGATACATACATTGTTTGTCGAAAAAGACCTTGTTGACCCGTTTATTTATTGGTTTAGAGGTGCAAGTCAATATACGCGCAACAGGAATATGTGGATCAGATTTGCATTATTATCATGATGGTGGTCTTGGGTCTATGCGAATGACACCTGATAAACCAATGATTCTCGGGCATGAAGCAGCTGGTATTATCACCCAAATTGGTGAGGATGTTCATGATCTCAAAGTGGGTGATCGCGTTGCCATTGAGCCTGGAGAGGGTTGTCAATCTTGCTGCTATTGCAAAGAGGGTCGCTATAACCTTTGTGGCCAAATGAAGTTTCGTGGATCACTCCGACGAGGACCGAATCATGGAACTTTACGTCGATATGCATGTTTTCCAGCCTATCTTTGTCACAAGTAAGCCTTTAGAAAATCGCATTGATTATAAACATAGAAATTGACAATAGTGGGTATAAGGATACCGGATAGTATGAGCTATCAAGATGGTGCGTTGATTGAGCCATTGGCGGTCGCTGTGCACGCTGTATCGATTCGTACTCAGGTACGACCTGGAAGTACGGTGGCTGTACTAGGTGCTGGTCCAGTTGGGTTGTTGACAGCGGCCACTGCTTATGCCATGGGTGCAGGAACATGTATCATTATGGATATCAATGCGTCTCGATTGGAGTTTGCAAGCAAGTACTTGCCTGGCATAGAGACCTTACAGCTACCGATCAAGCCGCATGAGGAGGATTTATTCGAGTGGTCAATGACACAAGCATCATCTATCATTCAATCGACATCATTGAAAGGAAAAAAGGAAGAGGATCAAGTTGATATTGTCTATGAATGCACGGGTGTAGAATCATGCATCAGCTTGTCCATGTTTTTGGCGCGTCGTGGTGGCAAGGTCATGTTGATTGGCATGGGCAATAAGGGTTGTACTTTGATGCCCACCGACATTTTGACGACACGTGAAGTGGATGTTTTCGGCAACTTTCGCTATGCCAACAGTTATCCCAAGGCCATCGAACTCGTTGGAAGCAAAAAGATTCAGCTGAATGGTCTTGTCACTCACCAATTTCGCTTGGAGAACGCCGTGGACGCATTCAAACATGCTCTTGCTGCACCAGACGGAACCATTAAAGTTGAAATTGGCGACTTTGACTTTGAATAGTGTTTTATTATATGTAAACTAGTAGTAGCTTGTCTTGGATGGTAGATTAAAATTGCATTAACCAGCAGTAGACCCTTCTTGTCCACCAATTTATCCTCTTGCTCAGACACCCAATCTATTTGCACTTTTATACACGCGACAACCCACCATGTCCAATCCGCCCGATTTCGTTCAGTCGATACTAAGCTCCATCAAGCAGCAATCAAGCACAAACACAGCCTCCAGCGTAGATCGATACATTGCACAAACGATCCAATTCTTCAAAGCTGTAAAGTTGACTGTCCCTCAGCATTGAGTGCTCAGCTGATGCGAAATGTGAATGGCACCTAGATTGACTGGAGTCAGCCTTGGTTGATGGCCCTTGTTGGCTTCCACGCCATATGTTTTATCACCACGATCGCCCTACGCAACCATCATAATGCGCTATCACTCTATTTCTTCCTATTATGCAAGTATCACTACTACTATTGTGCCTTGTTTGATGCCAGCATGTATTAACGCCATCGTGTATCCACTAGTGGGTCTGGCAGCCATGACACAAACATTGAATCATCTTGGTCAAGCGTATTGGGATCGTTTCTCGACCGTCAACTACTTTGATGAGAATGGCATGTTCATTGTTTCAGTATACGCGTTTCCCCTTATATTCAACGGCTTCTTTACTCTGGTAAGCATTGGATGATGCCTTCTTTCCCTTCCATGTTGCTTTTGTTTCTGATTCATTTTTTTCCATCTCAGATCTTTGTTCTGAAAGCTGCAGCCAACCTCATGATCAAGGTCAAACGAGCACAATTACGGAGCCAGGCACAGGCTAAAAACAAAAAGAAGGATTAGAAGAGTCGTAGCATGTGCAACCATGAATAAACACATGTATGTATTAGCTTTGTTGATTCATGAGTAAGCGATCTGTATCGTTGAGTGACATCGGGAACCAAGGTAGTGGTAAATATACTGACAGGATTGAGAAATGGGGTCGTGAATAAACAAGCGGCGAACATAACTGCCATGTGTGTGATCCATTGACGGGTATAAGCAGTTGAGGAATTAGCACATGTGGAGAAACATTGTCCCATCTGCGGGAGTAAATGACTGCAAGATCATGCAGGTATGATGATTGTTGATGGCGTAATCTGTCATAAAAACACAGCAGCAGCCATGTATAACACCTTAAATGATATACCGGTAACTCCCACGGGATGATCCGATTTCGATGAAAGCAACGATTTCTCTTGATGCTTTTTGACAGGTCCATCCATCCATCCATCCATCCCGCTCATTGAACACAAAGATATTGGTCGCAAGCCATAACCCTGGTTCACTCGTATTATTCATCCCACACAGTGCACTTAGCAATGAAACGTCCCACAAAGATCTCAATCGAAACACAGCAACAGGCGATGCAATTAAGCTGTGTAACGTTTGCAATTTAACACCATATATTTGATGTGACGAGGATCTCCAGCATACACATATATAAGCATTAGCTTCAAGTTGTAGATTGATCAATCATCCCATCGCCTTGTACTTTTAACTTTACCCCCCTACCTTTCCTTTTACAACAATCAACATGCTCGTTCGTCTCATTGTCGTCGCTTTGTTCGCCGTCCAATTGGCAGCTGCCATCTCGGCAGGCACCGCTAAAAATGCCTTGAGATTGCATAACAAGTACCGTTCCAAGCATTCGGCTCCTGCTCTCAAGTGGAACAAGGATCTTGAAAAGTTCGCTCAAAGCTGGGCTAACCGATGTGTCTTTGAACATTCTGGTGTAAGTACTCGATGAACCGTGATTGCCATGAGAGCGTTAAAAATAACATGTGGGTGATCATTATTATTACAGCATCCCGGACAAGGCGAGAATTTGGCTATGGGAATGAAGGACTTCGCTGGTGCTATTGGTGCTTGGTACAATGAAGTAAAGGACTACGACTACAACAACCCTGGTAAGCACTACGTTTATTGTAACCATTGAAGGATTTCGTTGCTCACATTCTTTCTTCTCATTATTCATTTAGGTTTCAGCGGCGCTACTGGTCACTTTACTCAGGTCGTTTGGAAGTCTACTACTGAAGTTGGCTGTGGTGTCAAGTCCTGCCCCAACGGCAAGATGTATGTTTGCTCGTACAAGCCCCCAGGAAACGTCGTTACTCCCGACAACTCTTTCTTCAAGAAGAACGTGTTGCCCAACTAGATGATGGCTTACTTTTAGTCTGACAGCAATCCACAACAGCAGTGCTGAGTGATTGATGCGTGACACTTTTAACGTTGAATGTGTAATAATAAACCTCATTCTCCATTTCCCGAGCAATTGTTGTTTACTTGCATCCAAAAATACCAACCATCATCATCCAAAATATGTCATCTGATGTGACATTTCTACTTTGGATGTAGCATTCTTGCCATCCATATGCCAAATCAATAATGTAGTTACGGTGGGATGAATTAGCTAATGTGGTGGTGATAGAACCTCGAACAAGGCAAATTGATAAGAGGGGAGGAGGGAGGGCAGGTTTTGAGAGGAAAGTATTGCACACATGATGGAGTCTCATAAACCAATGGGACACGACGAGGTCCCACATGGCAACCAAAAATGTATAGTAGAGTGTATCCCTGGTAACCATGTCTCTTCATTGTTGTAGTAGAAGGCCTATGCACTCATCATAATAGTAGTTTGGCTAATCCATGATTAATGCCATTCAAGTCCGTTGCAATGATAAATGTAAAATCACGAGTCTTTTATTTGCATGTACGTGTGGTGTCGTACAACAAAGCTCCTCTTTTTGCCACATTCACACATGTGGATTCTGCATTGATATGTCACCTCTAAATGGAAATCAAGGCGCATGGCCAATCAGATTGATCCACATTCCTTCAAGTATTACAGCCAGCCCGATTGTCGGTTTCTTTATTCTTCGTCTCTCTTCCCCATTTGCAATGCATCATCGTTACCTTGTGGCGTGCGTGCTTTCCTTTTTACTTCCGGCATCGTCAGTACTTGCAGATAAGAGTGCCCAACAATATCTCTCCGAAGGCAACCAGTTCTTGAGTACCGGGAAGCTCAATGATGCACTGATCAGCTTCGACGCTGCCATTGGTAAGGGTGTCTCGACACAGCATGTTCTATAGGTGCTAACGAATACAATAGAGCAAGATCCAAGCAACTACTTGACCTATTACAAGCGTGCGACAGCTTACCTATCTCTTGGCCGTACCAATGCTGCAGTGGAAGATTTCAGCAAGATCCTTGGCCTGAAGCCAGACTTTGAGAAGGCATTGATGCAGCGTGCACGGATATATGCAAAGGAAGGCGACTTTGAACTCGCTCAGAAGGATTTAGAAAAGTATCTTGAAAGCCATCCAAAGGATGCTGAAGCCACGACCTTGGTAGGTATCTATACAAGTGATCTTCGGGAATTGCAATGTTGATTAATCCTATTTATCTATCCTAGTTACAAGATGTGAGCGAGGCAGCAGCAGCAATGAAGAGTGCTGAAAAGGCAAAGGAAACGAATCAGTTTGATGAATGCATTCAGTTTACATCCACGGTGGCATCCATTGCACCTCAACTTCCTCGTGTACGTCAATTACGAGCTCGTTGCCATATTGCCAAGGGAGAAATTGAAGAAGCTGCAGGAGATTTGACGTAAGTTGTATCTTGTTTTTCAATTTGGAATCAAATTACTAAAGAGTGGGAACCATTCGATTTTAGACGTGCTGCCTATCTTGTTCCTTCCGATCCCGACACACTTGTCCTTCTTGCCAAGATAAACTTTTTCTCCTTGGGTGAATCAGCAAGCGCTCTTTCTCAACTCAAGCAGTGTTTGCATTATGATCCAGAACAAAAGCAATGCAAAAAGCTTTTCCGACAAATCAAAAAGATCGACAAAGAACTCAACAAAGCACAAGATGATTTCAATGCCAAACGATATGCAACAGCATCCAATAAGATTCTTGGCACATCAAGGGCATCTGGCATTGTACAAGAATTGGACGAGCCTTTCAATGCATTAGAAAAGGAATTGAATGCTGAAGGAAAGATGCCCAAACGTCTTCATCTCAAGTGCTATGACATGGCATGCCGCATTCAGGGCGAGAACCGCAAAGACACAGACAAGATTCAAAAGTGGTGTTCGGCTGTCCTTGAAATGGATCAAGACAATGTGGATGCGTTGATGTATAGAGGCGAAGTATACCTGAAGCAAAACGAGTTTGAACAAGCTGTACGGGATTTGGAGAAGGCCAACGAATTGAGTGGTGGTGGCAACGGCCGAGTACGACAGGCATTACAAAAGGCACAAAATCTGCTACGACAAAGCAAACGTCGAGATTACTACAAGATCTTGGATGTCCCACGAGATGCTGATACACGACAAATCAAAAAGGCATGGCGTAAAAAGGCACATGAATGGCACCCAGACAAATACAGTGGTGATCTAAGCAAGGAAGAGGTCGAAAAGAAGATGGCTGAAATCAACCAGGCGTATGAAGTGCTCGGAGATGATGAAAAACGGGAACAGTATGACAATGGGTATGATCCATATGATCCAGAGAGCGCACAAGGTGGTCCTGGTGGTGGTCCTGGTGGTGGATCTCCTTTCCATGGTAATCCCTTTGCTCACTTTCAGGGCGGATTTCCATTTGGTGCTGGTGGCGGCTTTCCTGGTGGCGGTGGTGGAGGTCCTTTCACATTTAAGATGCAGTTCTAGAATTTATACATACCATATAATCACCCATCGCTCCTTCTTCTTATTCTCCTACAACTCCATTCTATCTTATTTCCATAAAAGAAGAACTTGTACATTTGCATTGCTATTCGAAAAAACACTTTACATTTATAATCTTTGGGAAGAGCTTATACCATTTGAGTATGAGATAGCATGGATGGAAGAAGGTCTCATTTGGATTTGATCAGATTACTGGTGGGAATAATCGAACGCCGTGTTACACAAATCTCCCAGGAGTTCGGATTAGCAGGGCTGGCTTTCATCAAACTAGTGGCTTATGCACTGCCCTTAAAAAGTTTGCTGGAGACCTTGCGAGCGCAATTTGTACTTCTTTTGCATTTTCTGTTTTCTGTAAAGGTACGTAAGTTCTTTATTGAGCTTGCTTTTCATGATGAAAAACCTCTATATTTGCACGTCAGTCCGAACTATACTGTGGATGACCTAGAACCGCTATTCTTTTCTGAAAAAGCAATGCTCGCTCACACCTTTTTGCACTAAGACTTACATGTTGGTCTTTTACATAGGTTCTCTACTACCATTTTCGTGTCAACCGTATCCTTAGATGTTATGTACATATGGCCAAACGCAATAAATCATTTGTGAATGCTAGTAGTGAAGTTGTCATTTGACCTTGAGGATAATGGTGTTGAGGCTAGATCGCGTTAGCTCTCTTGTAGAGCAACCAAAGGATGGCATCTATGCAGGTGTTAATAACGCTCGCATTGAAGAATAGGAAAGCGTTCGTTGTGAGGAGCGTATTCATCACGTGAAGGCTGCCTAAACGCTGAGGAGCGTGAATCGTCCAAAAGATGCTTGAACACAATTTGACTTTGAATCCTTGTGCATATCAGCATATCCGTGAATGACCACAAACCTCGCTTGGCTCATAGAAACATTCTTGCTACTTCGAGGTATTTACGCGCGAATTACCTATGCATAGGCTGTAATCCACTAGAATTCTGATTATGATGACTAGCATCCCGAGTTGCTCGTTTCGCTTGTAAGCTTTTGGTTCTCATTGAATGGCTTAACACTACCTATGGGTCAATCACCTTACAATAAGCTTACACGTTTATGCATCAGCATTATGATCTTGTAGTATTGTAGTATTTATCTTTATAGGGACATTCAATCCTTTGTCATCCGTATTTACAATAAGAGACTACCTGTGTAATGGGCTCAGCATCAGTATACCCTGCTCAATTTCGCATCCGTTCATCATAGCCTTTCCTACATTTATACCCTACCATTCAAATTTTTATAATGGAGTATAGGTTCTTTATTAAGACAAATTGACCAGCGTCAACGAGGGCACATTGTGTGAAAGTTTCAAGTTCGAGAGGGGCAATCACAATAACAAGGATTGATGTACAGTGTTCATGCATTTATACAAGGTGTCCGACCTATTTAATTTCCACTCCTTCCTCTTCCTCCCATTCTCAACTGTTGGTGCATTCAAGTACATACAACTACCACCTGCGAACGATTGCCCTGCTTCAACCCATCATGTCAATCCCACAGCTGTCTTGATCCGATTGCCTTGATTGAATGGCAAGTCCATGGCGTGTACACAGCCTTCTTGACACTCTACTACAACACACGAGTCTCTTGACACAATACGAGCTCTTGCACATTCCTCTACCACGATCAAACGCAACAGCGGTCTAGGTGCTTTACTTCAATGTCTCAAGCAGCGTTCTTTACTTGCAGCAACCTTCCTTACAGCCATTTTCATGTGGACAGCATACTGCCATTGTATAGAGGCAGCTTTATTTACGTGTAACTTGCTTCAGTACAAACGAATTCCTATGGATAATGCCACATCACATCAACCACACTCCACAATACAAGCATTCTTCACTCGATTGAGCTGCGATAGAAAATGACCAAGAAGTGATTGAACAACAGCCGGATGAAAAAGGAAGCAATCACAGGAGTTCTTTCTATCAACATGCTGGACTAGCAACGGTTATGGATGGATGCAATCAAGTACATTGATAGGTGATCCTGAAATGCCATTTTGGTTACGTGGCACGTCGTCAGCAGGGAAGATGGATCATGTCGCGTGGATATGGCTGAGGCTGATGATGGATTGGATGGCATGGATGAGAGGGCTTACATCTAGACGAAAGGCGATTTGCCGCCATGGATGGTATTGGGACATTGGAGCCAAGGCAAGTACAGGAACTGGTTTGCAATATGGATCAATATGTTTATGACGGCCGCAACCAAGGATACAATGACACAACAATGATACCCACTGATTCTACGCGATCCGCTTGGTTGGTTTCTGGAATGAAAGGGAGGATATGGATTGAAGGGCGGGAAGTGATATTGGATCACCCACATCATTGTATCGAGACGCTTTTGTTCTTTCACACATTACATTCATTAAGGCTCCCTTGTTCGTATGCTGATAATAGACGATAGGCAGTATGTAGCAAATCTTAGGATTGTACATAGATTTAAACAGAAGCTTGTATTCTCAAAGATAATAAACCCATAGCAATGGTACCCAACAATAGTCTTTGTTACAGAAGCTTGGTCCATACTCCATATGTAGTAAGCTTAAATCAGTACGTTTAAGAAAGAGTGAACCCCCACACAATATGGCACGAGTACATACATATGCTTATCTATGACAACATTCAGCATGCGCTATCTTGTATATATAGCCTTTATGGGTACGAAACCTGGAGATAAACAATGCCATACCCCTCACATACCTGCACACAAATACTCTCAAATGCACTGATCATCTCTAGCTTATTGACCATGCCATGGTTGACATGAAAAAGATACCATATGGGCTACCATAGGCGGGCTTTACTATAGGGGAAAATATCTGTTATGCACCCTCCACCAATAGGATCGACCCTTCAACACCTGTCCCTGAGTTTGTGACACAATAAGTCAACCACATCCTTCTGCATCTTTGGCTCTCCAGCGCCTAGCTACTTTACATTAAACAAAGACCACTTCTCATATAGCATCACGCTTACAAACACAAACGTGCCTGTATCTCCAAACTTTACAATGAAACACAGAGTTTTTAATAGAGCAATGGGCTCGGCTTGGCCAACTGCACCTTGGGTGCCAGTTTCACGATCAAGTTTGCCAATCCCAGATTTCGCAATGTCGCTACCAGCCAAACTGGATCTGGGGGTCGACCTCTTCCACGACGACGACCAAAAAACATTTTTTGGGCTAGTTGCGACATTGAACGTGAAACTTTCACACAAGGTGCTGTTGGCCAAGCCGAGCCCATTGCTCTAATAAAAACCCCACGTTTCATTGTAAAGTTTGGAGATACAGGCACCTTTATGTTTGTAAGCGTGATGCTATATGAAGAGTGGTCTTTGTTCATTATCAACTAGGTGGACCCTGGCAGAGCAAAAGATGCAGAGGGTCGTGTTGTGTAACACAGCTACGTTTGCATGAATGAAAGGGTCAATGTATAATTACTTTATGGATCATCTAGGAACAGGCATGTATTGCCAGTTAACGGCCACTTTTATCCAATCATCATTGTTGCGAGATCCATTGCATGGGAACGATGCCCCTGCTCCAGACATTCATTTCCATGATTCAATTATCTTGATCCGAGCTGATTTGGCTGAGCTACGGTCAAAGAGAGATTACATCAATCCATACATCAGCATACGTGCGAATGTCTCAGCTGATTAATCCTTGTTCGACCATAACTCAACCAAATCAGCTCGGATCAACCTACTTTATTCATGGAAATGAATGTCTAGAGCAGGAGCATCGTCCACCTACAATAGAATGCACAAAAGTTGGGAATGCACAAAAGTGGCTATTAGCTGCCAATGTATGACCTGAAAATGAGGGTTGCGTACCTGTCATGCATGGTCCCTGAAGTCCAAACTTTTTAACCCAGTTACACAAACACGTCCCTCTGCATCTTTTGCTCTGCCATGGTCCACCTACTTGACAATGAACAAAGACCACTTGTCATATAGCATCACGCACACAAACATAAAGGTGCCTGTATCTCCGAACTTTACAATCGAACGTGGGGTTTTTATTAGAGCAATGGGCTCGGCTTGGCCAACAGCACCTTGTGTGAAAGTTTCACGTTCAATGTCGCAACTAGCCCAAAAAATATTTTTTTGGTCGTCGTCGTGGAAGAGGTCGACCCCCAGATCCAGTTTGGCTGGTAGCGACATTGCGAAATCTGGGATTGGCCACGATGGACTTCATAGTTTTACACAAGATCGCTTTCACCCCGCCGAGTAACATGGTTTTATGAAAGACCCCACGTTTCATTGTAAAGTTTAGAGATACAGGCACCTTTATGTTTTACATATGCTGTAAGCGTGATGCTATATGAAAAGAGTTCTTTGTTCATTGTAAAGTAGTATGACTACAATAGAGCCAAAGATGCAGAGGGACGTGTCGTGTAACTTGAGTCAGTCAGCACAGGCGATGCATGATTCTTGTACACTATTTAGGAATAGTTCAAAATGCCAGCTAATAACCTTAGTCCTCCCATTCTCCATTGTTGTCCAATCCAATGCATACGAACGATTGTCCTGCTCCAGCCCAGCATCCCCATCATTCAAGTTTCTTGATCCGAGGTGACATGGTAGTATGGCAACAATGAGTGTTATTGGATCATCATTATCATGTAAAGTGTAAAATGACACACACCCTTTTGCTATACGTGAGGATAATCATTTCATTTATTTAAGCATGTCTATTGTCTATCGTAAGGATGATGATGATGGGTGGTGTGTATAGGGTAATTGAGTGGCCTCAGTGTAGTAGCAGTAGGGGATTTAAACTTGGGGACCAGCAGCGCCACGACTTGAGGGTCACAGGGCTTCTCTTCTCTTTCTCGCTCGTCTGCTTTTATCGCATTCACGACATTCCAACCAAGGTAGGTAATGTGTTATCAAAGAGTGCTCTTGTTGACTGTGAGGTAACATGCATTGTCAAGGAGTGAGAGTGTGTCCAAGTGCCGAGGAATGAGCGTGGTGGGTGGGTTGGCTATTGCCATGGCGATACGGTTGCTTCCTCTTGTTCGTTGCTATTCACGCCTTACGCTTGTTGGTGTCAACAGGTACATTCAGAGTCCAATGTTGCAGCCTAACTGGTTCCATTGACATGTCAGCTTGTATAGAGGCAAGTTTGGTCTCAAGACGGTGGCTGGTTTTGTTTCAGCTCAACTACACTACTATACCATGGCTTTCGGTTTCCAGTAACCACCAACAAAGGGGTGGTTTGTGTATATGGAAAAGGCAAGTGCAATGAAACAAACAATGAAAAGGGTGTTTATTGTGTGTGTGAGTGTGTGCTAATAATGAATTGAATAGGTTTCTTTGGTCAGGCAATGCAACTTGGGGCATCATCATCATCTCTTTGGGTTCAAGTCCCAGCCTGTATCAAGTGGCCGCTGCGTCGCTGTGCACTAGCCAAGTGTGCTGGAAAAGCTTCTTGGAATGCCGTCCAGGGCTCTATAGGCCTGCGTTTGAGTTGATGGGTCGACGACGATGGGTTTTTGGAAGAGCATGGTCACCGTGTTGAGGTAAAAGGGGATTTTCAACAGCTCGTGAATGTGTTGAACCAACACGCTCTTCTCGTGATAGGCTCGTTACCCTTGAGGATTTCTTTTCATGAGGTGGGAAATGATTGGAAGGATTGGATTGGGGATCATTCTTTCTTTGGAGAGGATGAATGAGGTCAACTATGAGCCTGGACTCTACGTAAGTGATGTCCTTCCTTGCCATGGATCGAACTGGCCTTGCGTGATTCGTGCAGTGCTTTCTCAAGAACAAGGGATCGCCTGACGTTGCTCTTATGGTGGTGATTTGGTTTGTGAATTCCTTTTGATTTGCTTTCTTCCTTAGAGAGGATCGCTTAGCGGTATACCAAATCGTCATCATTCCCGGTACCTGATGGTCTAACTTGCCTACTTTTTACTTATAGAGACATCCATTACGATGACCACGATATTCACAACAATGACGATTACGATGATTACCACTTCACAACAATGACGATTACAATGATCATCACTTTCACAACAATGACGATTACAATGATCACCTCATCCGCAGCAATGACGATAATGGCAATGAGATTCAAAAGGAAGCCTGCAAGATCCCATTCTTTTCTACTTGCGCGTCTTGGATATTGGGCGACGATGGTGGCAATGTACATTAGCAAGATAGCTAGATGAAATAAAGCATTGTTTATTTATTACACGCTTGGACTTTGCTAGCTTGTGGATTACATACTATTGCTTGGAATAATAAAGATGGTAGGCTTTGTTCATTGTCAACCACCTCACACATCTTAGAGTCAATATACAAGAACTTCTTTGTGTAGCAAACGAACGTAACACACGCTGACTCCTTTTTTATGAATGATTGTAATTTTATTATATGCGACGAAAGATTGGTTATTATTAAATGACTGAAAGAAGAGACTTCGTCATTCTAATTTTGAGAACAATGAGAATGAGACCACCAAGCACGTACACAAACCCGGTGAATATCTTGTATGTCAAGTAAGGCTCCGTATCTACACGGGTTTGAATAGCACTGGCAATACTAGGACCGTACACAGAGATGGCATTGCTGAGTAAAAGAATCGACAGACCTGTGGGGTATCGTTTCATGCCGAGGATGGTAGCAGTGATGGGAGACACTAGATACATTGCGTATGAGCACAAACCATTCATGATGCTAGTAGGGGCCCATGATGATGGTACTTACACAATGAAAAGTAGGATGCGTTGCAAAAGCCAAACATGACGGCAAAACCCATTAGTGTCTGGTAATCATATGCAAATGTCCATATCAAAAACGAGCTCAAGCCAGCGAGGATAAGGAAGATGATATCAGTGTTCAATCGACCAATGCGATCAGAGATGTATCTATGTGTAGAAATGTGAGCCATTTGCTAATGCTTTGAAGCTTGTTATTGATGTTCGCTTACCCAATCGTGATACGACCGACAAAGTTGGCTGCTGAGAGAACGGCAATGATTGTAGCACTGTCACCAGTGGACATACCAAGGTATGTGATATAGGCTAATAACGATATTATTAGTGTGATGTGGTTAAGGAGAATGCAAGTATGATACTTACACGGCAAAAAGAAATAAGGAACAAAGAAACCCATGAGACCAATCATTGAGCCTAATACCCAAAGAACAAAGTTGAGATCCTTGAGCACTTCAAAGTTAAAGATTTGGCTCAATTTGGTTGTCTTGTCAGCAGTTCTAACACGCTCCCGAAGACAAAGACAAGCAATGGTGCTGCAGCCAAGGATAATGAAACCAAGGACACGGTAAGACCTATACGTATTTAGCTTAGTGAGTATGAACGTAATAGGGCACATGCAATGTAAGCTTACCATCCAATACCAAGTGAATCATTCACTGCTGTGAGAATGAAAGGCAACACCAAACCACCAATGCCTGATCCGCTGGATGCTAGGCCTGTGGCAAGTCCTCGTTTCTTATTAAACCATTGTGGGAGGATACCCATTGCAATCTAAAAAGGGAACAGCGTTAAGAGACAAGCAAGCAGCATTAAGATTACCTTTTGATTTACCACAAACATGAATGATGCACCGGTGCCAAAGCAGATTCCTTGCGACAAGTAGCTAACAACGATGTTAATAACCTAAGAAGTAAATTGACCCTCTACTAAAGTATACATACAGATGCCATATCTACAAGCAAAACAATGAGATACGAGTTGATAACGATAGTGGGCTTATAATCATACCTCGGATGTTAATGAAGCCATTTGGAGACCCAGGGTCATCAATAGGCCTCCCAAAACCAGGACAAATTTAAGGCCGAATCTCGATGTCAGGATCTGTACTAAAGGACCCATCATGTCCACAAACATCTCCATGAATGTTCCTGCAAACGATAATTGAAGCTGGGCATTTGGAACACCCTCAAAGACATTGCGTTCAAAATAATCCTGCATAATACCTTTGTTTACCAATGAAAAGAAAAAAAAAAAGAGAGAGAGAGAGCATGAGCATTGAGCACACAGCATAGGACATCATAGGTACAAAGCGAGCCTAATACGCTACACTATCAATTTTTTAATTCACATGATATCACTTACCCCTATGTCACCGAAAAATCAATCCATGGATCAGTCATCGTTAACCTCATTTAGTTTTAAAATAGCAAAAATTTGAGCCTTGCATGTTCAACATAGTATAAAAAAAAGAAGAGAGAGCATACCAACTAGCAGCGGTGCCGAATGCAGTGAATTGGACCATGAAGGTGCCAAGGACGACAAACCATCCAAAGCCACCATCAGGTCCTTGATCCTCCTCTAGCACTTCTTTGGAGAATTTATCATCCGCTGCTGTAACAGTAGCGAGCTGCGGAGGTGGAAGGTCTACTGTTCCACGGCTTGGGATTGGTTGGATCACTAGATCATGCTGTGGGATCTGTTGTTCATGAAGGGTAGCTCCATTCGATAGAACAGAAGGTCGTCGTTCATCCACAAAAGTATCGGTCATGAATGAGAAACAAGTGAGGGGGGAATTGGAAAGAGAAACTGAAAGAAAAAAGAAAAACCACAAGCGATTTCCCGAATCTTTTTTACATCTTTTTTTGCGGGGCTAAAGTCTACAAGAACCCGACCATTCGGGATCCACTTAAAGTTACCGGGAGGAATCAACCGATTAACGTTTTGTAACCCCACATTGATGATACAATCGTGCGAATCATAATGCTCTCTTTCAATTCTATTAATTTAAACAATGGAAGGAACCAAGAAACTCTAACAACAGGGGAGAAAAATGAAATAATAGGGGAAAGGAGAAGATGACTAGATCCAAACTAGTAGTGTGTAGTAATTAAGTATTATATCGGGTATTTCAGTCGAGGGACTGCGGTGGTTCAGTGATGGCGGGTGAGGCGGGGACAGATGACATTCTTTGTGTGCCACCAGATCGATTTGTGCTTGATGTATTTCGTCGTTCTAATTGGCTGTTGACACTATCGCTTCGTCCAATCTCGCCATTGTTATTGTCAACAACCGATCGAGCACCCACAGACCTAGGAGGTTGATGGGACATGGATATAACCGAGGCTGCATCATTATCAAGGCCAACTTGCGATTGTGTCCATTGTGGGAGTCCCAATGGCTCATGTTGATTGGTGATACGGCTCACATAAATCACAGGGCTAATAGTTTCATCGTGAGAATGTTGCTCAACAAAAGCCATCCCATACAAACACTTACAGCTTCTTTTCCAAAAAGGATGTCATTGCTTTACGACGTTGCTTATCTCCAAAGCGTGTGCGAGGCAATTGGTTGCTATGGATGATGGCAACGGTATCCACGAGTATAGAATGATTCTCCAAAACGCTGCTGACAATCAATGGGACACAAGACAAGGCTTGATTAGCTGATTTGACGGCTGCTACAACAACGACTTCTTGATTCGCTTGGAAAATAATACTAGAAAGAAAAAGTTGTGTTTAGTCTTCTTGATATGCCCTCATCCATACCATCAATCCACATCTTACCATCCTCCAGGAATAATTCCTTGATGACATCGCTCAACGGTGAACTCCATATCAGTGGCAAAATGAAGCAGGCCATTACGCTCAATCGTTTCTTGTTTGGATCCAAGCACAAACAAACATTGACCTTCTTCCACCATAGGTTGCGTACGATCCACACGTCGCTGAACGTTCCACAAAAAGCCAAGATCACCTGTACGCAGATATTTGACACGAGGATCACCGCCTGTAATTGTTGCTTCAAACATTTCATTGTGTGCACTATCACCCATGCCATATAACGTCTTGACATTGCAATCGGATGCTACCCAAACTTCACCAATGGTATGACTTGGACAAAGAGCACCGGTCTCCGGGTTGACAATAGCCACCATGGTATTGCTTGGGACGATACCAGAGTCATGTACAATCAAGCCGTATGTTTCATCATCCATTGGTAATGGTCGAATAATGCCTTGACGTAACCAATTAAAGTCGAGTAGTAATGAGATTGGCTCAATCAACATATACGATCGGGTGGTAATCATTGGATTAGACATGTGGCTGTAAACGGTATTCACGGCTTCCTTTTCAAGTCTGTTTGGACCAAAGAATCGCACCATATGTTGGTCTATGTAAAAGCATTAGGCACATTTTTCGATAAGAGAGGTTGATATTGAACTTACATAGAGCAGGTTTAGGTCGTCCCTCAGTGACTAACATCAAGTTTTGTAGGTTTTGAAGCGATAAACCACGGAGCTCAGAAGGATTTATACGGTTCATGGCATACTGCAGCAATGGGTGTGTTGCACAAACGTCCTTGGCTAAAAGAAATGGGATCAGCTCATCTAGTAAGAATGATCATCAATGTAAGATTATTACCTTTGTATCGTTGCAAGAGCTCAATGTAGCTGGCGGGGTTATTGTAAAAGTCGTCCATGGATAACAAAACCGTTGGGGATCCTTCATTTGCATATCAATAACAAAGTCCATCACACACATATAAGTAAGCCTTACCAAGATACGTTCCAGCGAATGCATAATGTAATAAACCAAGGCCATCATAGGCGCCAAGACTTGAAGCGATGATGCTGCGTTGGCTCTTCATTTGGCATGTCATCTTCTGGGCCCTGCATTGAGCAAGGAGAGTGTCGTGGCCAAGCGTGGCATAATATCGTGGACCATCCGCTGACATGTGTACCGAAATGATGGCAGGAATATTTTGACCAGCGGCAAACCATTCAGGCTTAACGTAAAAGCCGCTATCCTTGCCTAGCATCTTGCTTGTCTTGCTCGCTTTGCTGACGTTGGTATAGTCGGGAAGCTTAAAGCGTTTATCACGATAACCTTGCATCACTTGCTTGACAGCTCCATGCACCAGTTTATGTCGCATGATATCATCACCTTGCGAATTAATGAAAATGTACGAGATATCCAAATCCTTGACGGTGCCGATCATGGAGGCAATGTCTTCATGTACACGTTGAGGATGCTGTTGCGGATCGGGTGGTGAAAATGGCACGGGTGTGATGCCCAACACCATACAAGCATAAATGGTTTGAATCCACTCGATACCAAATGGCATCAATACGAGTGCCTTGTGTCCACACTTGACGCCCTTCTTATATAGATAGTTGGCCACACCAGCAATCTTGTTATTGATCTTGCGCCACGAGTAGGGTTTGGTGCTGATAGCACTTCCAGCATTTGCTTGTAACACGGCCACATAAGCTGTCTCTTCAGGGTACAACTTGGTACGCCAAAGCAGTACTTCAATGATGTTGGCAAATTTGGATAGATCATAATCCGTGCGCTCATCAATCACTTCTCGCACCGATTCCATGCCTGTGTGCTGTTGTTGAGGTCGCGGAATGATTTGGCCCATGCGAATGGCCTTGTCGTATGCCATGAATGAACGCCATACGCCATTTGTTGGATCATCATGTGATGCAAGATTGAATACTGTTCGATCAACATCCATCTTGAGATATCGCACTGCCAATTCGCCCGACATGAATGCTTTCTTAACCATCAATGGATGCACACGTTGTTTGCCATGTCGTAAATGGCGAGGCATGGCCCTTGGCGCCGTAAATAAAACAGCGAATACGCGTAGCCCATGTGTTGTCAACGCAACGTCAATGACTTGGCCGGCAAGTTTGACAAGTTCAGCACGTGCAATTCCAGTCTCACAAGCAATGATAGGCATATGCTGCCCATTAACAGAAACATCGAAAGCAACACTATGAAATGGGATTAGTAAAAATGAGATACATAGAGTGAAAAGTGTTTTTTTTCTTACCATTGATCGACGGAGGTTTGCTTCTTGATGGTAGAAACAATGTCGGTTGAAAAGTGGATTTCTTCAATACCAAAGTTTTCACCCAAACGTTGTTGGCGAATGCGATCTTCATAACCACCAAATACAACAAGACGACCGCCAATCGTGGTTCCAACCAATCCAGTACGTAAAAATTCTTGATCATAAATCTCGGGCCTGAGAGTTTCAGCTGGCACCACCACTGGACGAGCATGGAAAATGGCTTCAGTGTGTTTAGGCAATGCCCAAAAACCACCCGAAAGTGAAGGAGCATCCACCCATATTTCACCAATGGTATCCGGTGGGCAAAGAGTACCAGTCTCAGGATCAACAATGGCAACAGTGGCTATCCATAACCAATGATTAGTATCCTTTGCTTGTTTCTTTATCCTTGTTGCTTACCTTCTGGCATCACAAAACCAAAGGAGGCTACACGTATTTTTCCTGATCCATCAGCTTCACTTGCCATTTCACGCACTTCATCACCAGTAGCAAGCACCACGACCTTGTTCATCTTGAGTGACTCTGCATCCAAAAGGCATTCCCATACATCACGTGATCCACCAGGGGCAAGTACGGATCGACCCCCTCCTGTTGCTGCCGAAGGATCAGCTCCTGGTTGATTGTTACCCTCCTCATCAAGTTGTGCCGGACCCATAAAATCTCTGAATGCCAAAATCATGCCACCATATTCGGGAAGTGATACGATCGGGCATAATGTCTCCAAAGGCGCCTTACTCTTGAGTGGCTTCAATAAAGAATTGGCAATCAAGTCGTTCATGCTTGGGTTGATCACTGGAGTGTCGACAAAGAGGAAACGGAGGAATGAAAGATCGGGTGTCACTTTTTTGCTCTGGTTCATGACTTCCTTTGTATGCTTTTGATAATAATGCGTGGCATAGCTGAGCGACTCATATTCCGCCAATGCGATGGTAGCTTCATGAAATCATTATAAGTTTCCTCATCAACCATTATTACCTCCCCCATTACTTTACCTTCATATTTTGACAATACATAGATCCAAACAGCAGGCGTATCCATGATGCTTGAGCTAGCAAAGACGGTATGGCTGCCAGAGAAAATGGACCAAAGCACAGTGATAATCAAGCCAATTTGTTGACGATGTTCCAAGTACGTGACAATGGTATCTGCTGAGCGGGCATTGTATATTGGTTTCACCGTTGCATCACCCGTTTCCTCGTTGATGGTTGTGCTGGTCTCCGTAACCGATGCCAAAAGCTCAGAGCAAGCCGACATGATTGTTTTGTGATTGATGGTGACACCCTTGAGCTCGCCATTGGAAGCCTTTGCATATTCGATATAGGCAATTTCAGGTACGCTGATGGTAGGATAAGCTGCCGACTTTTTGGGATACCACGAACCAAAATCATTGGTTTTCCACCATTCAATGTTGGAAGGGAAATCGATTGATTTTGCCTGCATGTCACGTGTGAAGGCCTTGAGATTGAACTCCGTAGTAAGGATCAAGTTGGAATTGGTGAGGTTGAGGATGAATGATAGCTCGGCTAACTCTTCAGCTGCATTGATTGGCACTGCCACCATACCCGAAAGAAAGCATCCCAATAAGGCCACGATAAATTCAATCTGTTCAGATTTGCGATAGATCAATGCCACTCTTTCTCCTCGTCGTAAGCCTGATTTCTCCTTGATCATATGCGATATCTTCTCTGCTCGAGCATTCAACTTTTCCCAAGAGATCGTGGATGCTTCCTTGCCACGAGGATCCACCACCGTAAATGCCAAGTTTCTCGCATTCCCACTCTTGATGGCACGATGTCGGAGAATCTCACCAAGATTATCATATTGATCCAAGTCTAAATGCTCGTTGGTATGGTCGAGAACACTGAATGGAACATCACGTGGCTGTAGTGGCAAAAGTTGACGACCTGCCATATCAACAAGCATCGCCTGCTCCATAGGATCATCCAACATGAGACGAGGTTGGGGTGCAGGTTCAACAGCCTTGAAACTAGTCGCCATGTAATTGTTGCCATATCGACTACGACCCTGAGTCAAGGAAGATTGTCGTACAATAGGGCGTTGCATCATCAAATCAGCCATACCAAAATGGCTACCAGACATACGAGTTTGATTGTTGTTGTTGGGATGACTCGTTGCAGACATAATAGAAGGAGCTCTACCAGGTGTTGGCCGCCAACCAGCATTCACTGAAGATGTCTCTATATGCATGCATATACATATATAAGTACAATGATCAAGAAACAACCCTACCCTACCCTATCTCTTTCTCTTTTTTACATACCCCAATCATCTCCACGACTTTGCATATCATAATCCGAATGAGAACCATTCATGGGATAAGTGGGTCGAATAACAGAGCCTGGTGGTTGCATCATACTATTCGCATCCGATCTTGATTCCAAAGACGAAGTACGTGTGTGTCTACTAGGTGCTGATGATTGAATGCCTGGAGGGCGTGGTGGTGGTGGATACGTTGCCATTGGACGTGGTTGCGGAGGTACAGGACGATACATGGGTCTCACACCAGCATTAATAGGTTGTTGTTGTGGTGGTGCCATAGGACGTGGCTGTGCTGGATTATACATTGGCCTTGGTGTATAAGGAGAATTGGATGGAGGAGGAGGAGGAGGAGCAGGTCTTGCAAATGGAGGAGGTCTTTGTTGACCTGGATAATGACCATACATTGGTCGTGGTTGCTGCTGTGGTGGTGGTGGTGGTTGTTGATAAGGAGGACGCGACATCATGCGAGGATCATATTGATAACCAGGTCGAGGTGATGCAGGTGCATAATATTGTCCATATCCATATTGTTGCTGTTGTTGCTGTTGCCAAGGAGGATAACCTGTAGGACGAGCCATAGCAGGAGGAGGTGGACTATGACTTGACGGGCTTTGTGTATTCATCATGTTTGCACCACCTTCCATGCCTGTCGCCTGCTGCTGTTGCTGTTGTTGCTGAGCAAGTTGCTGGTGATTCTCTTCCATGAATGCTGCGCCCACTTCGGGTCGAGTGGGTGAATGCGTTGGTGATGGCAAGTAGTCGAGAAAGTCGGTGACATCAGCTGCAGAAGGCTCACCATCGAGGGGATCAAAAGGCATCGTCTCGGCTTGTTGCGTGTCCTCGGCTCTCGACTCATCGTTGTTGTCGTCATTGATAGCTGAGGTTGCATTGCTTGTGTCTGGTGTGTTATCGTCGACAGCATCATCAACAGTGAAGGGTTGCAGCAATTGAGCTCGTTTTTTCTCATAGCCTTTCTTTGTAATGTCGCCCTCCTCAAGTTCCAAGTCGAGGCTATGAAGCTGTTCCAGAACTTCCGGAGGAAGATCCCGAATGGTTCCTCCTGATGCCATTGAAGAAAGGTTGGAGTTGTATGGCTGGTGAGAAAGAGACTTTGAATAAAGCAATTATATTAATTGTAGGTATCCTCTTCGCTGTGACGATATCTTGCTGGGCGGGGCTCAAGCCTGTGCTTCCACCATATTTGTCCAAACCTACTACTCAACTCAACAACAACCCGCACTCTCACTCTGTCACCTTCATCGTTTACTATAGTGGCTCACCTCACCTCTATTGACTCTCCTAAATACATTCTATATATCAAAAGTTCAATGTATGTGTGTGTATTAATATAAGCTACGTTACACTTTGGCACATCTATTGTCAAGGGGTTGAAATGTTACCGCGGGTGATATAGCTACAGAAATCGCCTTGTGGAGGAGATTTGATTCGCAGTGTGGGCATATTACCATGAATGGTCAAAATTCTGTAGCACAACACCCGCTTTCAACGAGGTTCGATTAGTAGGTGCATCGTATATTAAGGTAATATACACCATCATCGAATACCAATACTCCTCTTGCATCTAACTCACTTTTTCGCACCACACATTGTAAATTCAATACACTTGATATGGGCAAAAGATGCTTTATTCGCACCGTATCCTGTTGATGTATAATATTAAAATGAAGAACCTTATGCTGGTTGGTAGTACCAGCTATCTGGGGTTGGAGGGAGATGAAATAAAACTTTATAGTAGCTGGTCTTGTATTGTTGCTTTTCAAGGGATTTGATTGTAAGTTGTATCTTGATAAGGAGAAGATCGTCAACGTTGACACAATACTTAGAGTAAATTGGCAAGTGCACGTTCGGGAAGATCCTTGTATCTTTTAGCATGGAAACGGCGGGATCATGGATTGACACGAAATCGAGCCAATAATGTGTGCTCGAAACATGTGCATGTATCCCTTTACTCTCACATATTTACTAACCAAGATGAATCATATTGTAAACGAACATAGTAGCAGCAGCCACGAATAACATTCATCATATTATTTATCAGCAAACCTATACATTTCAGCCTAATGAATGTGAAGGTGAATAACTTGCAAGCTGGTTGAAGGGGAAACACGTACCTAATTTCTCTATGGCAACCGTTTCTTTGAAGGAACGCGCCTGGAATTTCACTCAGCTGGTGGGATTTTTTGGTATGACCCAGCGTTCTCATTGTTACTTAGCTAGGCACACACTCTCTCACTTGCTTTCGTCTCAGCTCTGCTCTCCCACTTTTTTACCCTTCGTTTGACATGTGGAGCGACAGCAGTCGATTCAGTACTGGGGGCACTCGGAAATCAATAGGCAGCAACGCCAATCGACGCCCCGTTGAGAGACAAAAAGTTGTGAAACGATCTATTGAAGACAAAGGAACCAACATCCAGGTCGTGTTACGATGCAGGTACATACACCCTTCGATCGCCTTTATTTTTTTCTTGAAAGCAATGTATATAACGACTCGTCTATAGAGGACGCAACGAACAAGAGATCGCGGCCAATTCACCAGTGATTGTTGAACCCAAAAGCAAGCGAGAAGTAACACTACGCTTGGCCAACAAGGAGTCGTCCTATTCTTTTGATCGCGTATTTGGACCAGAGATAACTCAACAAGAGATATACGACGAAGTTGCACAACCGATATTGGATGAGATGTTGCTAGGGTATGGTTGCATTGACAATGAATAGCCTTCTGGTTCCTGATACCAATGCCTTATTTCTACAGATACAATTGCACTATATTCGCCTATGGTCAAACTGGCACTGGAAAAACGTAAGGACTTCGTCATGATGACTTTTTGATAAGATGAAGAAAAGTTAACATGACGTCTAGGTATACGATGGAAGGAGACTTAGAGGAGAGAGATGGTGGATTCTCAAGTCAAGCTGGCATCATCCCAAGAGCTGTCACCAAGTTGTTTGAGACATTGGATAACCAAGGTGCTGATTATTCAGTCAAAGTGTCGTTGATTGAATTATACAATGAGGAGCTTCGTGATCTACTTGGACAAAGCAATGACAATCGAGCGCTACGTATCTTTGAGGATCAAAATGGACGAGGTGTGATTGTACAAGGCATGGAGGAGTCATTGATATCGAGTGCATCGGAGGCCCTGGATGTTATGCAAAGAGGAAACAAAAATAGAAGCATTGCTGCAACACGATGCAATGACAAATCAAGGTTTGTTGCTTTGTAGGAGGTACCATCCTTCTCTCTTGATGCTCACTCTTTGTTTTGCTTAGCCGTTCCCATTGTATATTCACTCTCACTGTGCATATCAAAGAGACGTTACCGGAGGGTGAAGATGTCTTGAAAGTGGGCAAGCTCAATTTGGTGGATTTGGCTGGATCAGAAAACATCAATCGATCAGGTGCTGAATATACAAGAGCACGTGAAGCTGGCATGATCAATCAAAGTTTGCTCACATTAGGCCGGGTCATCAATCAACTTGTGGATCATGCTCAACATGTACCTTACAGGTAAGCTTAACAAATCTTGGGATCGCATTCATCATTGACCTTTTGTTTTATAGGGAGAGCAAGTTGACTCGCCTCTTGAAAGATTCACTTGGTGGTCGTACCAAGACCTGCATTATTGCCACCATTTCAGTTGCAAAGATGAACCAAGAGGAGATTATCAGTACATTGGATTATGCAAAGCGCGCCAAGAATATCCGCAACCGACCAGAAGCCAATCAACGAATGAATCCACGTGTCCTATTACGAGAATATGAAATGACCATTGAGAGGCTCAAAGCAGATCTACGAGTAAGTAAGCTGAGCTTAGAAGGTTATTAGAGATGTGGATTTGACGTATATCCGATATTAGGCATCACGAGAACAGAATGGCGTATACTTGTCACAGCAATCTTATTCATTGTTAACGGATGAGAACCAAAGCTCAAAAGATCGAATCGTTGAATTGACGCGTGACATCAAGGCAGCAAAAGATACGCTGGATGCTAAAAGAAAGGAGTTGGAGGAAAAGACAAAGTTGCTTTTGGGCAAAGAGTCAGAGCTGGAAGATATTCAAGTAAGTTCATGTCGATATTTGAGGACAATGGATACTAAATGGGTATTCTTTAGGGAAAGCTGAAGCGTCTGAATACCAAGCTTGAACGGCAAATCGCTGAATTTTCTGACCGTATATCACAAGTAAGTAAATATCCCCCATGGTGTCACTTTTAAATAGGAGACTAACATTTGCGAATAGTATACGAATGGATCCATGTCAGCCATCAATTCGCTGTTATCATCACTTGAAGCCAACACCGATATTATGCATGCATTGACGCAAGAAGGAATTCGAGCACAAAATGAGTTTGCCGACAAGATGGAACGGATCCGTATCAAGTTACGCGAAGAATCTGAGCAGAAATGCGCTTTGGCCGAAAAAGCGATTGCAAGTTTCTTTGACACTTTTGAGGAAGATTTGAGTGACATCAATGCCAAGGTATGCATAAGAATGGATGGTTAAAGGGAACCATGGGGGCTCATCATTGGGAAAATTAGATTATCCGTATTGAGAAGCATTTTGAACAAATGTACAAGAACCATATGCAAGGCGAACGTCAATACATTGAGCACCAGACGAAATCATTGATGACCGTAAGGGAGGATACCATGACAACGCTATCAGAAGAGGTAAAAGTTGTGGGTGGGTGGATGGGTTAGAGAAAGAGAAACGGCTAATAGGTATGCAACATTAGCGTGAACGAGCAGAGAAAGAACGATCGTCATTACAGGCGTTTGTTGAGGGAGAACGAGAACAACAGAGGAATGATACCAAGACTCTACTTGATGCAATTGGCAACTTCATCCAAGAATGGAGTCACTCTCGTGTACGAAGGATAGAATCAACGCTTGGAGACATTCGATCATCCTATGACGATAGATCAAACAATATCCTTTTTTATTATTGGGCTTTATTTGAATGACATCCTGCTTCTAACAATCCTTAACCATCATTTTACATCTTAGCGACTTGCAAGACAACCTGAGCACCGTGATGGATGATGTTATCAAGCAAGGCACAGATAGATTGGACACTCTTCATCGAGCAGAGAAGACCATTGTGGATCAAAAAAAGATGCTCGCCGATGTAGGTATCACTTTGCTTTTAGTGTACTATAAATAACTAATCCACACGACTTTGATAGATGTCATCAGGGCTTACATCATTGCATGAGCAAGGGAGACAGCATAAGCAAAATGTGTTACAAGCTATTGAAGAAACAAATCAAGTCATTACCACGAGCTGTGACGAGATCTCGCAACAAAAGCCTTTATTACAGGGGAAGCGTCCTTTGCCAGAGGATTCGACGACGAATGTCTCAAACGCCAAACGCCAAAAGAATACTTCGTAAATAGCCTTCATTTTGTGTACATATCAAACCCACCCAACCCCATCTGCCCATAGGCCTTAGTAGTGGTCATTTAATTTAATCGGCCGATCACATGCATTGTATAAAGATCCATTTATTGCTTTGACAGCTTACATAAGCGATACAACAACGCGATTGAGTTAGGAGCTTTCATCGTTTGATTTTTTAATGTACATTGCGATCTATCATTGAAACATCATAGAGGTGGATGAGATCCCATGCCACGAATAATACATTACACGTCTTCTTCTTACATCTTCCATAATGTCACCAGGCGATTCAGTTAGGTCGTTTGATGCTGCTGGTAGCTATTGACGACGATGGTATGTAGCATGCTTGAGTATGCGAACTATAAATCACTTGTAGACATCTACGTACCTGCTGACTCTTCTTGGTTGGAGGCACTAGGAGTCTCTAAGATGAAAAAAGAGCGTAGCTTCGTTAAATAGCCATTTCGTGGCCAATCCTTTGAAGAACTGGAAATTACTTTTTACCCTCTTGCGCCGTCGAAGTCTGCTTAGGGATCCATCGGCGGTTTCAGATACGAGTTCAGGTTCAGGATTAAGGCTACTTGAGATAAAGATGAGACACACTCAATGCTAATGGAGGAGCCTGGATACGTTACCGCTTTTTTAATGTGGATCGCAGTACCATTTTGTCCGAGTCGGCTGCATTACGCTCTTGTTCCCTTTTGTCATAGGATTCCTGCAAGACGTCATACCTTCATAAAAGGGTGATGAGGACTATCATTGTTGATATCGTCAACAAGAGGAAAATGCACGTACCGATCCTTTTGCGTCTCGAGCTCTGCTTTGAGAAAGGCGACTTCGGATAATAGACGCATACCATCCGCCGCAGAATCGTCAGCAAGTTTGGATTGCCTTCAAAACAGGATTAAGCAATCTTGTTGACACCTTCAAACCCCATCCCATTTACCTCGTTGCTTCTGCTTGGGCTTTCTAAAAATGATAATAATAATAGGTTACCCAAATTAGCTGAAAGATATCACTTGCCCGTCTGACGATGTTACCTGTACCATGAAACGTAGGTTATCCAATTCCCTGTCACGACTTGCAGCAGCACTATTTCTTTCATGAATTAGCTGGTGGATGGAAACATGGTAATCCTTTACTACACTTACTCGAGTGCCGACATCCCTGCTTCATTGGACATACCCACGTAGCATCCATTTCCTTCCTCGGCCATCATATCTTCCAGAGCAACGATTCTATGTTATGGCGTTCAATATTCCTAGAGCCATTCTTTCATGTTTTCTACAACTTACTTTTCACGTAGGCATCCAATTTTACTCTTGACAAGGTCACTTGCTTCCTTTGAAGATTGAATTGTGTGTCCAATATAGCTGAAATGCCCAGACAAAGTATTCATGTCATCATGTATGGCGCCTGCCTCCTGCCGTAACTCTTTGATGTGTGCAGTCTCGAATTCGATGATGGTTGTCAATGTCCCAGCTGTAAAGTGCACTTGAGAGTTAGCTTTGTTTCTTCATACATATCCAATCGGGGTACGTAGCTACCAGGACCTACCAATATATGCACGTTGCCTAGCACTTGTTTCCGTCGCATGGTTGATTTTGCTTCGAAGGCTTCCCATATCAGCATAAAGCTCATACAAGCGATCCGACATGGCATTATTTCTGGATACAGCTTTCTCCAAATCACCCATATCTATGCTTCATGTGATTAGCTCGATTGTGATTTGTCAACAAGATCAAGCGTAATATACATACGTTTCATGGTCATTTGGTGTTGCTCATCCTGCAGCTTCGTTGTCTTTGCAATCAAGTCTTGAAATTGAGCCACCGTATTGGTTTCATTCATAGATGACGACGTTGATGATTGTTGCATGTTGTCGATCATTTGTTTTAAATCCTCCAACATTGACTTGACCAAAGTATACTGCGACGACAATTGTTGAATGCTTAAAGATCATCATTTAGCATACCATACCCACATACTAAGCTGTAGCTTCCACTTACCCTTGTCCCATATCATCTTGTTTGCCACTTAAAGAGGTTGATACTTGGTCTAAACGCTGGAATTGGACTTTGTATTCAGCAATGATCTTTTCTTGGGATTGAAGCTTTCCTCGCAACGTATTGATTTCTTCCACTGCTGCTGTACGTGCTGCATCCTTTTGAGCTAATGTCTGTTTCAGGAAGACTGCAAACTTGTCAACATCTTCCGTATGAAGCTGATTGGAAATGCTGCTGGTGGTAGTTGATGCTTCTTTCTTTCTATCACCATGCTCCTTCACGGATAACGAGAGGCTGTTGTTGGTACTTGATCGAGGAGGCTGGCGGGTATACGGCTTTGCTGTCGCGCTGGAAATGGAATCATTCGATTTATGCGATGTTGCGTTGGTGATTTCGGCTACTGAATGGGCTATTGATGGCACATGATCCGTCAACGGTGTCGTTGTTGTTGGAGAAGAAGCCAATAAAACTGGATCGTCAGAGATGAGCGTTGTTGAACGGGGCAACGTCGATAATGTGCATGAAGGAATACTCTCATCATTGGTGCTCTTCGCTAATGTGGATGGTTGCGCCGTTGTAGAAGATACATGATTCAATTGGTTGTTGGCTGGCTGTGGAGACTGAGACCATGCATACATGAAAACATGATCATAAATCAGAGCACGTGACAGCAACATGCATGCACCAAACAATACCCACCATAGCAAACGATACAGTCTTGAACTTTGAAGAGCTGTATTCAGGCTTTTCCTTTTTGACGCGAACGAGACCAGTTCCAGGATTGGGATTGCTGTTCTCCTTGTCATGTCTCTTCTTGCTGATGGATGACTTTTCTAATTTGGTCGATGCTGAAGCTGGTAGCATTTGGACAGCTGTTGACAATGGGGTTGATGGGTGCCTTTGTACATTGGTGTGGAATGTTGGTGAGAAAGAGAACAAGGAAGGTAGAGGTGTTGTGCCTTGAGATCGAAGGGCGGATGATGTTGGTTTCACTTCTGTTGTTCGGCTGGATGCTGCATTTGACCAAACTTGTTTTTGAAGAGCATGATGTGATTGCTGTTGGTTGCTTTTAGTTGTGATTGCACTAGAGATGTTTTCTTTATGCGATGCTTGTGATTTGTGGGTGCTAGGATGGGTCGTCTTGTTGTTTGAACTCTCCTAATAAATGATACATAATGAACCCAAATGAGAGCCTTTTTTCGTCATCGTTGATAGGCGGATGTGCACATACTTTGTCGACTCTTGGAAGAGAAGCCCATGATACGAGTTTACGAGCAGGATTTGGTTTGAACGCAAAAGGCACAGTTGTGTTGAATCCCTTGAGCGCTGTATGAGGGGTGTGGGTGTGGGTGGTGGTGGTCAATGCATTCGGCTTGTCAAGTCGATTTTGGTTGTCATTCATGCCGGGAAATGAAACGGGGAAAGAAAAGGTGCATAATGTGTTTGAAGCCAAAACATTCCCATTTACGTACAGCGATCATTGGCTTCATTGTTATCGCATAGTGGCAGAATTTATATACCCAACATTATGGTTCATCAGCAGTGACGCCCTTCTATATAAGGTTTTCGATGGAGCCTACTACTACTATCATAAAAAATCCCGTAGTCGTTTGGTGTAAATGTACCTTTGTACCTCGTCGCCGGTAATCCACTTGCTTTTGTTCCTAATATGAAAATGTGACGAAGGCAACAAGGCCCCATCTCCTAAAAGAGTTAAGGATGGGTTACTATTCTGCGTCGCTGATGGATCCCGTGTTGCGACACGTACAACAATAAAGTAGATTGTACGCATCGATTAAGATTTGACCCTGATAAAGGGATGGCTTTCACTAGTAGACAACCAATCATCTTCATCATCAAGCTTATCCGGCATCATCGTGCAAGTGCGCTTCGATTGGAGGCCTACTTTTGCCGTACGTAGCAAATTGTAAAGGATATGGGTGTGACAATCAGTGGCTGATTCGTATAGGCTTATGAATGCATCAAGGATTGTATTATGCGATATTGGGTGTGTGTTAGGGTGCAGGCTCATGAGCGAACCCGGATCTTACTACTGTTCAGGGACTTAAATAAAGTTGTGCGCGAGAACACCACCCTCTAGTAGTAGTAGTCCTATATCGATAAGCTGGCGTTGTGTTGTTCCTGAATCCAAATGGGCATTCGTAGTATCACCCCTTGGAGATGGCTGATACATTACAGATAGTCATCATTTATAAGCATAGATGACTTTTTGCTGATCCTTAAGAGGGACATCATCATAATCAAACAAGCGTGAAACACATTGCATATATTAATGTAGATCTTTATAATTGCCACCATCCTTCATTGTATTCTATTTCTCATGCTATATGGGGGAAAAGACAACAGCGTGTAAGAGAGAGAAAAAGGGGAGGTGGATAAAAAGAGAGTTCTCCTAGTGAGTGTGGGTAGTACACAAAAAAACAACGCGGCCTGAGTCTCCCTATTTTCCTTTTCATGCTTGAGGCGCTCAGACATCCATCTTGGCTCTTTTCCATTCCCGCGGCCACGCACACACACACAACACACGCACCCAAAAAGTACCTCTTTATCCGCTCCCTTCTTCTTTTATCTCTTCTTGTCTCAACATGGAATCTCCTCCATCAAGGTTGGCTCCCCATTCAAGACCAATCTCTTCATCGGCTTCTTCCGGTGTTGGAGCCGCTACTGCACATGTCGACGGCATCGGAGCTCCGACTTCCGTTGATTCCTCAGTCCACGGATGGCTCATGAGTGTTCCAGGCTACGGTGAAAACAATACAACTTGCAGCAGCAACAACAACAACAACGTAGAAGAGATGGATAGCAAGAACAATAGGTGAGTTGAGCAAGAGTAAAAAGTGGGGGAACCCAAGACCCAAACATGTGGGGGGGGCCATCCAAAAGATGAATGACCTACTGACCTTTGTTCTATTGTATTAGATTATTGTTTGAGGAAAGACGACGTAATCATCGTTCAGCATCTATTTCATCCCTTGGTTCAACCGATAGTGCCAATCTTGACGATTTGATCAGAAACAATTGTGTCGCACAAGTGGATGATGAGACAGATTTACCAGACTTGGCCGATTTGGATTTGGACGATTCTGCAGATGATTTTTGGAAGATGAATGATGTAAGTTTACCTTGTGTGCGTGTGTGTGTGTATACGTATCCATGGAGACTGACTATGACTAGATCTTGGCGGATGGGCATCCAAATGCGACATTATCAGCTGACCGAGATCATGAGTTGCTTTCTATTAACACGCCTCTTGATGAACAAGAATTCGTAAAGATGGTAAGTGAACATCATTGTGTATATACCTAATGGCTGTTTATTAACCTGGATGATAGGCGGCTGGTGATGACAAACTTTTGAGTTGGTCTCCTGAAGGTAATATGCAAGTGAATAAGCAAGGTTCCTTAATAACGTCATCCTTTTTTCTTATTGCAGCTCAAGTTACTACCACTGCCCATAACAAGTTGATGAGCTCCAAGTTGCGTGTGACATCGTCAGGATATGGTATCCCATCACCAGGTCATAGGTTTGGGCGGCAGCGCTCTAGCAGTCTGAGTAGTGATAACAGCTTGACATCCGAATCCACCATCACAACAAGTGGCAACACAAGTCAATATGCTCATTATGGAATGACACCAGTGCTTTATCCATCCGAATCAACAAGTGCTTCCAACACATCTCGCTCTCCAAGTCGTTTGAGTGATTATTCAGCTACAAGCAGTCAAACATCTCATACATCAGCCATCCCACGTCCTCAATCAAAGTCATATGCAGCATCATCATCATCTTCACAACATAACACTACCACAACCAATACACGTCGTTTATCTGATAAACTATCCAGTGACACGCTTCGCTCTTCATCAAGAATCGCCTCAGGTTCACGCATCAATTCCAATCAATCACGCCTTGCAAAACGTGCCACACATGTACCTTTACCTTCTACACGCACTACACCGCCAACAGTGATAGCCACTACATCCCGTTCTACAGGCCTTTCAGACACCACACGTGCATCAGCTGCTGCTAGTGGAAATGGCAACAATCGACCTGGAAGCCGCATTGGTGGTGGAAGGAGGCTGAGATCAAGCCATATCCCTAGTCCTCCTCATCATACGAGGAATGTTGCTTCTCCCGAACCACCATCATCACCTGATACCTGTTTACCAACACGTGGAGGAGGAGGATATCGTCCCATGTCACCATCGTATGCTGGCAATTCGCGTATTAGCGGTATTCGTAGCCCTACACCCACCAATGGCAACAAACACCGTGTAATCAACAACAACAACAACAACAAAAAAGAGGAGAGTCGTATTGGACGACCTGCAAGCGCTGCCGTCTCAGGTATTAGTCGATTGGCCAAGCCAAAGAGAACTGCATGACGCGATATCACGACCCCCTTTCAATATGTTCTCTCCCATATCCATATTCAGTTACCCCTACAATTCACGCCAATTGACATAATACCCATCCCTGTTAAATCACCATTCTTTGTTGGATAAAAAGATAGAACCACACGTTATTTGCTGATCAGCAACTTATATGCATGCCATCCCACATAGTCGAGCATTATTATTATGCATAAGTTTGTTTTGTTATTGTTGGAGTAGATAAATGGTATTCGTATTTCAAGATTACAAGAGATGGGAGAGATGATGATGTAGTAGATGCTGTGTGGGTGTGTGTGTTAAAAATGGCATGGAACAAGAGAAGAGGTATTGGTACAGAGATACAAAGTAAGTATATATATACAAAAAAGGGGGGGGAGCATAATAATGAGGGTGCATCAATGTGCATGTTCATCACCACGGAAGCCACCCAAGGAACGGAAACGACCAAACATCATTTCACCAATAAAGATGCCAACAATAATGACAATAAAGAAACCACCATTGCCAGTCATGACGATCAACATGAGCAAGTAATTGACAAAGGATGCCAATGTTGTGAGGAAGCTGCGTACGGTGTCGATGGTCCAAGCGAAGGGTGGTATTTGTGGCAGATCCAGGGGTTTTGGATATCGAGCATAGTATTCGTGGGCTGCATTGTTGCCAGGACTATCCAAGGCGATGGTTGCTGAGCCGTCTTTATGCTTTTGAATCTATCCAATAATGTATGTGTCAATTAAGGCTAAAATCCCGGGGGATGTCAATCCCTTTAATGATTTCTTCCTTACCTGTTGCTGCTGCTGGCTTTTAACAAAAGAAGGATTGGCACAAGCTGATGATTCATGGTCGTCGCCATGGATATTTTGAAAGCGTTTCGAAGCCCATGCGACAAAATAGATCTCAATAGCAATGATACCACGCGAGAGAATTGAGAGAAAAAGGAGACCAAAGCATGCACCGATATAACCAGACTCGGATTTTGGCATCCACGCATCAAACAAGATAGCATCCCCGGTGGAAGACCAGTGAAAAGTGCCCATGCTCATCATCATATGCATGCCACCACCACTGCTATCGCTACCAGAGGATTGATCATTTCCCATATCCATGCCGTCCATGTCCATGTTGAGAATGTAAGGGAGAGAGAGTGAGTAAGTAAGAGAGAGAAACAAAGGTCAAAGGAATTCCCCCTTTCATCCATAAGATTTATATTGGCAGCTTGGTCGCAGATTGTTTTTGAAAGCCAACTTCCGATGATTGGTAGAGCAAAAATCTCGCATGTAAGACGAGTTACCAGCTTAAAAATTATCCACGGAAACAAGCTCACCGCCCGCCACAACCAGGGTGCACACGCACACCATGCACGGAATTCATTGTGTATCATCCCACACGGCGCCAAGGCCACCACCACCCTGGTTCACTCAGCCGTAGCGACCTTAATTGATTCATTGTCGGATCATCCCACTTGTATAAAGCTTGTTATTCATCCCATGTCCCGAATTGTACAATGACAACCATACTTGTTATCCTATTGCTGCTGGTATTCAATGATTTATACTGATCCAGGGCTATGATCTGATTTATCTCGCTTGAAACTTGGATTGAATGGATAAGGTTTAGGCTGGAATACGTTTCATTTACAGCAGTGATGGAATCACTCATCACTCGTCATCATCATTGATATATAAGAGTACCACCACCATGCAAGTAGAATCCATGATAAGGTCACATGAGAGAATGGTGGTGCATGCAGTGATCAACCTTCTTTTTCGGGGGGCCACACGACGTTATCCCTCGTGATTCATTTGGCGGTGACGGCCAAGGGGTAATACGTGTGCGCTTTAAATAGTGGGGATGAAGCGCCGCATCATGTGCATAACATTCGTATTTCTCTCTTATGCTTCAAGAGCTCAAAGGCAACTTGAGACGTTTATTCAACGTTACCAACAAACCAGAATCCAATCAACATGAAGCACAGAGTCTTTTAAGCAATCGCAGCCACGATCACCTTGACTTGTATGCAGAGGGAGAGCATGACACACACAACATTGTATACTGGGTAACGACGACGACGTTGACATTTCCCACCCCACTTTCATTCACTTTTTGCTAACTCGAATGGGTAACAGGTGTTCTTCATTTACGGCATCGCTATGCTATTACCGTGGAATGGTAAATGATACTCTCGCTCGTATAATTGATGTATATCATTGATGAAGAGGCCTACTATAGTCTTTATCACGGCATCCGAATACTTCCTCAAGCGCTTTGCTGATACGCCTTACGCGGAGACTTTCCAAAACTACTTTTCAACCTCGTTTACAGCCACCAATCTGGCTCTTTTTGGATTGCTGCTATGGCGACAGAGCAATGTAAGTACGAGAGAGGAAAACGAGACATGGATTGATTGCATGATAGGCGTATTCATTCATTTGAAAAAGGCTGCAACATTTCGTTTAGATGTGCTTGGTCCCATTCTCGTCAACACAACCGTCTTTGGTATCATGGCAATTACAGTTGCTACATCCGTCCACGGCACAGGCTATTTTTGGGCTACAATGGCATTGTTGGTGATCACAGGCATGACGACAAGCGTCTTTCAGATTGCTGTATTTGCAGAAGCATGTAGATTTCCTCCGAGATACATCCAAGCAGTGATGAGGTAAGGCATGAATCAAAAAAGCAACAGCTGGATACTAACATGGAGCAATTGTTGTAGTGGTCAAGGTGTGTAATTGATTTCTTGCAAGCAACAAGGATGAGATGTTTATCATGATCTTTGATTTAGGCATTGCCGGTGTCGCCGTCGCCATCGCATCTCTGCTTAGCGCTTTTGCTGGATCTGCAACACAAGCACCTGATGAAGCATCCATTACAACATCAGCATTTATTTATTTCATGTCGGCATTTGCTATTACGATTGCAGCACTTGCTGGACGCATCATTGTATCAAGGCAACCATTTTACATCAAGCAAAGCCAGTTGTCAACAGGCATTCTTTCGACTGAATCTTTGGATGATGATACGGATATGGAAGAGGGCGACAATAGTGATGACCATCATTATACACAACCTACTTCAGCTGCCATTGTCATTCGCAAATGTGGAGGACTCATCTTTGCCGTTGCCTATGTCTTTGTGATTACACTTGCCGTATTCCCATCTATCACGGCACTCATCAAATCGGTTGTACGACATGATCCCGACGACTCACAGAGAATCATTACGGATGGCAATCGCTTTTTGGATGATGATGTCTTTGTTGCATTCCATTTTGTACTTTTCAACGTTGGTGACTGGGTGGGACGCACTCTACCCATCTTTCCATCCATGCGCACTTTCAAAACCAAGCTCTTGGTCGTGTATTCCTTAGCACGTACGCTATTTATTCCTGCCTTTATGATGTGCAATGTTGTGGTCAGCGACCGGAAGATGGCTGTGGTCATTGACAGCGACGTGGTATATTTGGTTCTGGTCTGGATCTTTGCTGTTAGCAATGGATGGCTCGGCAGCTTAACAATGATGGCCGCACCTCAACAAGAATCGATTACCAGTGCCACCGAGAAATCATTGGTTGGAAGTGTGATGAGCTTTTCGCTTTTGGTGGGATTAGCAGTAGGAGGCAGTGCTAGTTTTATTTTACGAGCCATGGTCTAGTCTAGTCTAGTCCTCCCCACCCACAACTTACATGTACAATAAGAGCTGGATATAAACTCATCGAGAGTCCGAAACCGATAACTCTTTGACTTATGTGAGAAAAAACTTGTTTGTGCGGAACAAGTTAAAAAGCATCGTGTTGCTCCAAGGTGTTCATAGTTTCCTTGTTGAGCGTCAATAAAATGTTTGAGAAAAAGATGCGGATGTCTTAGCGCCCATTTCTACGTTTGTTTACTACCACAAAAGTAGGAGGGCTGGTGATTCGCAAATTTTAAGGCAGCAATCCTTCTATACAATAACGAAAATGACAAAAAAATCTTCCCGTTCTCTCTCCGCGTTTCCTCTTTTGTGTGCCACACACATGTCGTCTTCACCTTTCTTTACCAGTGGGCTTGCCATGTGGTCCCCAGCCGTTGTTGTGAATCCAAGATTACCACCTTCATCCACATTGACAGCACCTGATACGCTGACAACAACAACCACCACTGATCCATCAGCAATGGCTATGCATTCGAGCTTTTATCACCAGCCATTGTACGAACCGAGACTATGCGTGCTATGTGGATTGCCACATCGGGCACCCGATGGTCATGGTAAATCACTCAACGAGTGCGACAGCGACGTTTTGTCGTACTTGTTCCATGACCATAGCACTGTATCCGATGTATCGCCCGAACACTTTCCCGATCTGACAGATGCCACAAAGCCTGATCGTGTTATATTTGTACGCTCCCCATCATATCACAAGCGATCTTGGTGGAAAGCTTGTTTGGTGTATATACGTCTCCTTTTCAAAAAGATCTTGTATCATAAGCAGCATGTGCATCCAAGTAAACGGCAATGAAAAAATGTTATCATGTATGGCCTAGAAGGAAAGGGGTAAAAAGTACATGCACTACGCATGCGTGAAGGATGCAGGACCCATGATTATGGAAACCATCTTAAAACCCTTCAACCTCCTTGACCAGTGTTTCCAATGCATAAATGGTAGTGTTTGCATTATAAATCAAATGATTGGAAAAAGGCCGAGCGATCGGTCGAAAATGATACATGGCTGTGTGGATGCGTCATGACCGAATTAAGGGGACGTGAGTCATCATTATGTATCCTGCAACCTCGATGGCAGGCAAACAAAGGGGTACGAAAAATGCTACCCAATCACTACAAATGTTAACAATGCAGTATATAGAAAATGTGGATCAGCCACTGTTATGGCGTGGGATTCTTCTACCTGTTGTGGAACCTTATAACCATATCAAACAATCCGGGGTTAATGCATAATCCAAAACAATTTGACATCTTGTTGACGAGTGACCCACATTGACAAAAATTGACTTTGTGTGCTTGCTTTTATGATGCCATGTTGTAAAGATCGCCCATTCACTTACCTGATGAAACATTCAACCAAGTCACCACGAATAGCAATGAGTGATTCACCTACTTGATTTACGTATGCTTGCGTGGAATCCGCGGCAACCGCATTGGTGAATTTCCATGGATACCCATCCCGACGCAACGGACGTACAGAACACAAATCCTGATAGGTATGACTGAGATCAAAATCGATCTATATAATCTCATCGCTATCTAGTCTTCTTTTACCCGTCAAAGGCTTTTCCTTCTTTCGCTCTCTTTGCACTTGTCATCAGCAGCCCATGGATTACCAAAAGTTCCTCAGCACTCGCAGCAAGGCTCGCAACCCCTCGGCCAGTAAGTGTATAAGCATACCAAAAGCAGCATAGCATAGGCACTTATCATGATGCCTACTAGTTCGTGCCCTTATGCCATACATGAATAACAAGGACATGGTAAGAAAGAATGAGCCAACATGACTTTCGTGTATCATGGCAACTAAACGGCAATGCAACGACACCCTTGTAGTTATCGCTTGGTGCTGGTCAACCTAATCCTGACACTTTTCCTTATGCAAGCATGTCGGTAACTCTCAAGTCGGGTGAGACTTTGGAATTCGATGGCGACCTCTTTAGACGCAGCTTGTCTTATGATCTTACGGTACGTATCATGTCAAAAATGACAATAAAGTAGTAGCTGGCAACAAATTCAGGGATTTTTCTCACGCCTTTCTCTGGATCCTCCGCACGTGTGCACAATAGTCTGGTCTTCCCCCGCTCAATCAATGGCTCCGTGAGCTTCAAATCAAGGAACATGCACCACCTTGCAGTGAATTTGATTTGACAGTGGGTCCTGGTTCTCAAGATCTTTTGACCAAGGTAAGCATAAAAAACAATTGTTTGTATGTGAATGTATGCTAAAGCATCGATCATTATAGGCCTTGGAAATGTTTGCCGAACCTGGTCATGCACTCCTTGTGGAAGGTCCTACTTACACTGGTGCATTGTCATTCCTCGAAACTCAGCCCATTGACCTTGTTCCTGTGGCTACCGATGCTGAGGGCATTGTTCCCGAATCCTTGGATCAAATTCTTGCTGATTGGCCAAATTCGAATCCTAGTGGTAAGAAAGATCAACCACGCCCTCAAGCTCTTTACACTGTTCCCGTGGGTGGTAATCCTACTGGTGTCAGCTCATCGCTTGAGCGAAAGAAGAAAACCTATGCTATTGCTCAAAAATACGACCTCATCATTGTTGAGGATGACCCATACTACTATCTTCAATTTGATGAGAAGCGTACTCCTTCGTACCTTTCCATGGATGTTGATGGCCGTGTCTTGCGTTTGGATAGTATGAGCAAGATCTTGTCGTCGGGTATTCGTATTGGTTGGGCTACTGGTCCTAAGCCTTTGATCGAACGCATGAACATGCACACAATGGTATGTCGTGTTACACACACACACAAAAGTGGATTCAATCATCTCATCCCGAATCATCATTTACATGTAGGTTACCAATCTTCAACCTGCTGGTGTTCCTCAATTGATGGCCTATGGCTTGTTGGAAAAGTGGGGACATGATGGCTTTTTGGAACACACACGCAAGGTCGCCAACTTTTATCGTGAGAAGCGTGACCTTTTCGTTGAATGTCTTGATCGCCATCTTAAAGGTTTGGCTGAATGGGTTGTTCCTGACTCTGGCATGTTCGTTTGGATTCGTCTTTTGTGTGGTATCGATGACTCGTATAATCTCATCTTGCAAAAGGCTGTCAAGAAGAATGTGCTTGCTGTCCCTGGTGTGGTAAGTTGAATTGGGCATGTCCATATACAATCGCATGAGCAACGTTAACACGCGGCAACACAATAGGCCTTCATGCCATTGGGTAACAAGACCCCGTATGTGCGTGTATCATTCAGCTGTGTCACCTATGAACAAATGGATGAAGCTCTTCGTCGCTTGTCCCTCGTGATCCGTGAGGCTGCTGATGAGCAATCGACCACCGCCCAGTAAACAACAAACCGAAAGCGATAATACATCAACGCTTTTATATCCCTGTTCCCTTTTTCAATAATACCGGGACATTGTAAGTAAGCATTTTCAATACAAACACCATATAATCGAAGCCCATCTGCATCAGAGTTATAGAAGCAGGGTCGTACATGAATAATAAATTATACATTATCTGCTTTAACATTGCTGCCAGGGTGGATACGGAGGTCTTTTTTACATTTGGACATGCCTTGAATTCATTAGGATTGATAAACATTGGCATAAGACCATTCGTGTACATACGCACTTGCTTTTTCCTTTTTGCCGTAATGTTGCCTTCTCGTACATGCCAGCAGTCTTGTTTTTCGTAAACAGCAATGTTGCTTTTGCTAAACAGAGACCTAAATTTCTTATGAATGGCATCCTTTTTCTTGGTACAGTAATCGAGATCGCTGACTTTGTTTATGGCTATTTGATTGTGCGTGGCACGTATCCGATAATTTGATGGCTCTCGTTTATTAGAAGTAAGAGATCCATATACTAAGAATTTTACTCCTTTATAGCAATGTGAGCTACTTGCCACCATTATCCAAATACAGATCCAGCGCTGCAGCAAGGTCAAAATCAAAACCTATCATAACTTGCTGACATAGCAACCTGTTGCCATGGACACAGGCATTACACTGCCAACCCATCTACTAGACACATCCCATGCCTTGGTTCGTTCTCACGATGTATCCCACACTTTTTGTTGGATACACCGTGTGATTTGCTAAGGCTGCTAAACGCCATCCTGTGGCACAAAATAGCATGGGAATGGCTTTGAAACATGCAAACGTGCTCAATTTTCGAATTCTGTGGTTTCTTCTATGCGGTGTTGTGGGAGCCATCATCACAAAGCATGATGAGATCACTATGTATCCACAATCAAGCTGGATCTAAAATGGAGATTGTTACTTGATATTGCTGTTTATGTAGCGTATCCATTGCTCAATAAAGCGATCCAAGGATGATTCGATTTTCATAGAATGGAACAATACAGCCAAGCATCACGTGGCGAAAACCGCGCCATATATTTATGGTCTTTGCTCAAGTACATATACTGATCTATCAAAGAGACGATGTTTGATCACTTTAAAGCATCATACTTGGAATGCTGTGCATTGTATCTATGCTTCGTATCTATGGATGGGGGAATGGCTAACGCTATACGTATCATCCAGGAACATTCAAGGTGGGATCAAAGTGCGTAAATCAACAAGAGCCGGGGGATCAAAAGGTATACGTCGTAAACATGATCCTTCATGCATGTGTCACGCAAACATGCTGGGCCAGCTTCTCCTTCTCGATATTCTGATGTCCAGTGGAAGGACAACATACTTATTTTAGATAAAGATTAGGCTGATTTTGCATCGTTGATACAGTATTTTGGTATGTTGAGAAGGTGAACAAGTTGCACAATGATACGGCATGCCCCCACCACAGCTACACGATATCCTTGGCGTGTTGCATTGTTAATGAAGCGGTCCTTTTTTACCACCCCAACTACGTACATGGATAAGCTGGCATGCATTATGGGCCATAGGAGATGGTTAATGGATCACAGCTGCAAGGAGCGAATAAAGAAGAAGAAAGAAAACAATGAACACTATGTGACACAGGGTAAATCAGGCAAAAAGGGGCACATGACAAAACAAAAGGAGCCGAGATTACCAAATGCAGCAGCCTCTCTTCTTTCAAAATGCATGAAACGACCCTGTTGATATAAGGAAGAGGCAGCTGGATCACCCATCGTGTCGTATCGTACGTTGCCATGGTGACCTGAATACATAGGCTGTTGCTGCCACCTATATAGATGTTATCAAAACCAAATGACCCTTCGCGGTGTGTGCGTCAACTTGGTGTATAGTAAAGATCAATGAATGTGGAAAACTTGTTGCATGTTGCACAAGCAGTGTTATCACAAGGAAAATCGAAATCCTAGAAATGCAGGTTCCTTTGTGTATGGTCAATCCGAAAGTGCAAATTAACAAATCGGGAATACGGGTGCGTACTTATTATGCAGCATCTCACCATCAGACAATATTTGGCGTGCGACACGACAACTGATATTTACATATCCTGTCAGCGATAAAAGCAGTTTTCGTGATAGATCATGCCTGTGAAAATCGTTCTTTTTCATCTTTATCTTTGCTCATTCATAAAGTGAATACAACAGCTCATCACACATAATACCAACATGGGTGATAAGATATACACAGGTGAAGGAGGGATTGGCCACATCGATGAAGAAAAGGCGGGTAGTTCTAGCGGTGGTGGCTTCCTCTCAAATATACAAGCACGCTATGCCAAGGTGGACCCATCGAGTTATTTACGGCGACCCGATGAAACAGGCCGACAATATTGGTCAAGACGCTTGATTTCACTCAAGCCATATGAGCTGCTGGCAGCCGAGTACGCAAATACGGAGCTCAGAAAATACTTGAATGCCTTTCAACTTGTATTTCTTGGTATTGGTGCCATTATTGGAACAGGTACATCATGAATGAGTGATCCAAAAGGTGCATTCATTGTTGACTCCTTTTACTTTTTACCTAGGTATCTTTGTATTATCGGGTCAAGCAGCAGCCCAAAACGCTGGCCCTGCTGTTACTGTATCTTTCATTGTCGCCGCAATTGCTTCAGGTATGGAGTTTTACCATCACACACACATACACCAACCATCTCATTCTATGGTTTTCTTATCCATCATAGGATTTGCGGCTATGAGTTATTCTGAGCTCGCATCTATGATCCCCGTGTCTGGTTCAGCATACACGTATGCGTATGCTACCATGGGCGAGGTATTGTAACATGAAGGTTTTCATCATTGAATGTCACCACTTACATGGCTTTGATAGTTTATGGCTTGGACTTTGGGTTGGGATCTTGTACTAGAATACATGATTGGCTCAGCAACAGGTAGGTAGATACAAAGAGTGGCCATTTGTAGTATACATCCGCTCATCATTGTAATGATCGACATCTTTTTTTGCAGTCGGCGTGGGTTGGTCTGGTTACTTTAAGACCTTTTTCGAGGTTGCATTCAACGTACATTTTGGAGACAGCTGGACAACACCGCCTATATACTGGAACGAAGATCCTGCATACATCGCTTATAGCGAAGGAAGCTATTTCAATGTCCCTGGATTCGTAATCATCTTACTCGTCACCATTTTGCTTTGTGTCGGGTAAGTACATGTATCATTTTGTTATGCAAGTTACCGTTCTCACATTGTCCTTCGCCAATAGTATTCGTCAAGCTTCGTGGGTCAATACCGTTATTGTCATCATCAAGCTGCTTGTAGTGTTTATCTTTATCTTTGCATTATGTGGGTTCGTTGATACCGGCAACTACGATCCCTATGTCCCTCCCAACACTTCTGGCAATTGGCACTTTTTTGGTACCCCAGGCATTTTTGCAGCAGCATCCACCGTATTTTTCTCGTAAGTGTTGTGATGCATTATCATAGCTTTTATTGTACAGGGACACCCATCAACTAAATGTGTGTTACAGGTACATTGGTTTTGACTCCGTGACAACCGCTGCCATGGAAGCCAAGAACCCACGTCGTGACCTACCTATTGGTATCATGGGAAGTTTGGTTGTGACGACACTCATGTACATTGGCTTTTGTACCGTGATGACAGGCGCTGTGCATTACTCTGAATTAAATCACCCTGCTCCTCCCACCATTGCCATCCTTGCTGTGGAAGAACGTACGGGTCGTTCGTTTAAATGGTTGAACATTGTCGTCGCTCTTGGTGCCCTTGCAGGCTTAACATCCGTGTTACTGGTACAAATGCTTGCACAAGCACGTGTGTTTTACTCTATGGCCAAGGATGGCTTACTGCCCCAAATCTTTACCAAAGTCCATCCAAAATTCAAAACTCCCTATGTTGCTACCATTATTGTCGGCCTTATTACATCCATCCTCTCTGCCTTGCTCCCTGTTGATCTCCTTGGCAACATGACATCCGTTGGCACGCTGTTTGCTTTCTTCATTGTCCATTGTGGTGTTGTGGTGTTGCGTATCACACGTCCCGATGTGGATCGTTGGTTCAAAATCCCTGGTCCCAGTTATACATGGATTGTATTCCCTTTCATTGGTGGTGCCATTTGCATTTTACTTATCGCTGTCGCTGAAGTTTCTACCATTTGGGTAAGTGATAAGAAAGCAATATCAAAGACAAAGACTCAATCTAATAACCTACCCCTGCCTTATCATTAGCGTCTCTTTGTCTGGATGGGTATTGGATGGATCATTTATTTCAGCTACGGCATCCGCAAATCAAGACTACACAGAGATCCCATCGGCCGCTTTGCTGAAGTGCATGCTCAACAACTTGACACTAAGGAAGAACCTGAATACGCTGTTCAGGATTATGACTATCCAAGTCGAACGTAATGATGGCATGTGCCCATTTTCCATCAGCAGATATCCATTCTAGTAGTAGTAATCTATATTAATATATGTAGCAATTTACATAAGCTAAGCTCTGCATGCAAATAAAATCATCAGATGATATTACGAAACAAGTTTTTTGGGGGTCATTTATGTATGCATGAGTAATTTACACAATCGAATGGTATTGATCATTAAATGAGTGATATGAAAGGGAGAGAGCATGGGGAGAAAGAGATGGCTCTTTTTACTTTGTGTTATTACGACGTAACTGTTCCAGCTCCCGTTTAAGTGCCTCATTTTCTCGTGATAGCTTTTCACGTTCTGCATGGGAGATTGCCAATTGCTGTTGTAAACGCTCGACAGCGTCTGATGGATGATGATGATGATGATGTTCAGCCCCGTCATACGATGGCTTACGTGATCGCTGTTGTTGAGTTGTGTTGGATAAGCAGCTGAGCATATCATTGAGAAGGCTGCGCTGGACCTCATTTTGCTTGAAGAGCGTTTCCATCTGGGTATACATGATCGAAGGTATTTCGCTAATACCTGCTGCTGGAGATTGGGCGGTGGTGATGATATGTCGAACAGAGCTTGGATCACGTGACAATGAAGTATAGGGTGATGTATTAGGTGAACCTGACAACGAAGACTCAGCTGATCGATCCATGGTGTTGGTTGCTGTGGCTGTGGTTGCTGCGTTGCCAGACAATTCAAAGCGACCCTTTTTTCGACAACAATCATTTGTCGTCGTCGTCGTTGTTGTTGTTGTAGGTGGCTGCTGTTGCTCATCCCGCCCTGCAGGATGATGTTGTTCAACTTCGACTGAGAATCGACTTGATTTAGAACTTGTAGATCCATTACGGGGTAACGAGATACCAGATGAATTAGAGTTTTCACGTGAGAGGGCACCTTCGGTACTAGGATGTGGCTGTTGTTGGATCTCGAATCTCGACTTTCGTTCTATAGCGTGACATATGAGCACAATATCTAGAGGCCAATGATGATGGATAACCTTACCTCCTTGTACGCTATCTTGACTTGATAAACGAGATAAAGGCAATGGCGTCAAATCTTGCGTGGCGACTTCTTCAACAGCTCTTTGATTCACGCTGAAACGACCCTTTTTTATCTCGCATTCAGGATTGGAAGGAGGTACAACATCGAGTGGTGCCACAGGAGGAGATGGAGTGGATACGGGAGGAGTATCATGATTCTCTTCGATAACAAAGCGTGATTTTTTTGTGATGGTGCTATTGCTGCTATCGGATGCTATCGTTGCTGTTGCTGTTGATGCTGCTGCTGGTTTAGCTGCATCACGAATCACCACTTCACCAAAAGAGATATGCTTTCTAGTTGGCTGCTTCTTTTCAGTGGTTGTTGTTGTTGTTGTCGTATCATCGGTATCGAAATCCCACTGCTCAGTCGTTTCAAAGGTGATATGCTTTTGAGGGACCTTTTTGTGTGGACGTTGTTCAAGGGATGGTACATGCACCAAGAGTGACTTGCATAGGTATTCTTTCTTTTTTGCTTGCTTGAAGAAAGGGTGTTGTAGCAGCTTTTCAGCGGTAGGTCTAATTGAGTAAGGTAGCTAGTTAGTAATTGCACAATGATTATTGGAGCGTAGTTACCTTTTTCGAGGATCTTTTTGAAGACAGCAATCAATCATTTCCTTGAACACCTTTGTATATTTGTACTTGGTGGAATCCCGATCCAAGGTCGGGGGATCGTTGGACAAGGTCATCATTAAGACCTGGTGACAAGTATAAATTTTCCCTTTCATTATTATTGTTGTTATCACTTTACCTTCATGGGTGGGAACTTTGCAAATGGAGCATGACCCTTGGCAAGTTCGAGAGCTGTAATACCAAAGCTCCAAATGTCAGCCTTGTAATCATAGCTTGCTTGTTCCATGACTTCAGGTGCCATCCAACATGGCTATAAAAGAAGAAGAACGCATGTGTGAGAATAATAAGAATTGGTGGCGCACAAAAGAAATACGTCATTTTACCGTTCCCACAAATGTCTTTCGAACACCCCCATTCTCCGTGAGCGAGCTGGAAACTCCAAAATCGGCCAGCAACACAGTGCCATGCTCATCCATAAGTAGATTGCCCGCTTTTACATCTCGATGAATGTGACCATTCTTGTGCAAATACACCAGCCCCTCCAACGCTTGCTTGAGGATGGTTGCAATGGTGGTCTCTTCAAATCCTTGTTTAAAAGCAGACTTGATAATATCCAGACACGAGCCTATAGCAACAATTAGGTGTAAGAAAGAGAGAGCGTACATCCCACGGCTGGTAAAACGTTACCCGCTGATAAATAAGGTGTTACTATGTAAAGCTTGGATCCGTTTACAAAGGAGCCATAAACTTGCAGGACATTGGGATGTTTGGATAGTGCCATCAAAGCTGTTTCGCGCTGCGATCAAAAGATTTTGGGTGTGAGATACACACACACACACACACAAGCACAAGCACACACACACGCGCACATGATAAAATGGGATGACTTACTCGCAATTCATCGATTTGATTACGTTCAAACATATCCAAGTCAATCATTTTCAAGGCGACGCGTTTGTTCAATGGCTTGTAAATGGCGCCGTAGACTACAGCTGATGAGCCGTAACCTAAATTATACCTCATTTAGTCGTCATATTGCAAGTGGCCGCCGATCCCATCGACCTTGTTTCAGTGTTGCTTACCGATAGGGTCTTTGAGTTCAAAATCCTCCAAACGGTTGGCCCAGTTGGTATCAGATAATTGAGAAAAAGAGGTCGTGGATGGATTGGCATAGTGTGATAGTGGGTTGAGTGTTGTTGAGTCGTGTTGATCATGAAGAAATGAGCTCCTTGGGAGAGCTTCAGAGAATCGACGAGTCATTGCAGTGGATGGTGCGGGATTGTGAGTTGACATGACACGCATAAGACTGCCAGAGCGAGAACGAGAAGAAGTGTTGAGGCGGTCAAAGGAACTGGTCGAGGCGTTCGACCCCTTCAGGAACGCCAAAGAGTTGTGTGCAGGGGCTTGTGACATCAAATAAGTTAATGCGGATTGACTGATAAAACTCTTGACTTGTAACGAAATAAGTATTCATCCGAAAAGTAAGGAGAGAAGAGAGAAAGAAGTTTAAAGGTGGATGAGGGGGAAAGGGGGGAAAAGGAAGAGAGAGAGAGAAAGCGAGCGAGATCATTCCATCCTGGTAATCCCTCTCCTCTCACACACACCAGGGAGCTGAAAATCGCTCTCTCTTTCTCCCTGCTGGCTCACTATTCTATCTCTCAGTCACCTGGTTAAAACTCACCCGCAACAAGCCGCAATTGACAACGCCACTCATATACGATGCAGGAGGTACCTTATATCAAACTCTACCCCGAGGAGAATACATTGCATACATATGCATATTCTTTTCTTTATTTAAGTAGACCCTCGTAAACGATCGATTTCTCTTTTCAAATTTTCATTCTCTCGCTTTAAAGCTTGATTCTCACGCAATGATGCTTGAAGCTGATTCTCCAATGATTCCTATTATAATAAAAGTTAGCTCATTTGCAAATGAAATGGACTCTCACTCTTTCTCCAGTGAAACTTGCCATAGTTAGCATTATCTCATCTGCTGACCTTCGTCTCCTAATAATAAAAAGTCATTCCATAAGCATCCTTTTGGTTCATTGATTCATTCATTCATTGTTTGTTGCAGCATGTACCTTTCTTGTCCTTCTGAGGAGGATGACGATGAATGATGGAGCAATGCAGGCTTTCGAGGTACTCCTGATTTCGTTCGCATAGGAAAACCAAGCATGCTGCCCAACTCTTCTAATGCATGTCGTTGTGTGTCATTGGCTCTTAAAAGTTCTTCCACGTGGGCATGCATCGATGCTTGTGAATCGGGTTCGGATTTAAATGTTTGACCACGCGATACTGACGATGAATTTGATGAAGCACCAGAATGCGGCAAGTAATGTGTTGTAGTAGTATCACACCCACCACCTCCATGAGAATCTACATTCACCTTTTTTTAGTCATGGCTTTCATTTGAAACAAGGGTCATGTGATCTATGTCAATACACTTACTGCTATCTGTTGTCGTCAATTCGAACCTCCCCACTTTGCGAGAGGAAGAGCTTTCACGAGCCAATGCATACCCACTCGAAGTTGGCTGAGAGCTATGTCGACATAGCGCATGATTGGAGTTGGGCATAGGAGCTGGGCATATGGATGAGGGTGGTAACTGTGGCGACGATGATGATGTAGTTGTATCATCTCCATGATGGACTTCGAATCTTGATTTCCGGTCGCTGCATCCATGTTGGTGATCATGCCGTTCCGATAAAGTTGATTCAATAGATGATGATGGAGAATATTGTTCTGATGCTTGTTTCACTAATTGGTGATTGATGCTGAATCGAGTTTTTCTCATAGACGGATCATCGTTTTGTTGTTGAATGCTGGTGGTATCCTTTGGGTGTAATATTGGACTATCCTGAGAGGGTGGTGTCACAGGTGTTGTTGTTGTTGTTGATTGATCAACGGTGAATCGTGATTTCTTGGATTGAGTTTCGGGTGCCACTTGTTGTTCTCCTCCATTGGTGCCTGTATAAGGTTGAGGTGGGTTTTTGACCACAACGTCACCAAAGGATATATGTCGCTTCACTTGTTGCTGCTGCACTCGGCTATCTGAACCAAGTTCATTGCTGCTGCTAGGATCATTCTCATCATTGCTCGATGGTTGTTCTTGAAAATCCCATTCTTCCTCGGTCTTGTTAATGGAAAGGTATCTTTGTGGAACCTTTTTGCGAGGTCGATTTTCCAATGGCGGTAAATCATTCAAAAGCGCACGCACAAGATGGTCTCGTCGTCTAGCTTGCTTGAAGAATGGATGTTGAAGCAATTTCTCAGCGGATGGTCTACAAATGTAAGAAATGAGAAAAATAGTACTATTAAAAAAGGGACGTGTGAATCATACCTTTTTGATGGATCCTTGTTGAGACACAAATCAATCATATCCTTGAATGTGCGAGAGTATTTGTGTTTGGCTGTTTCTCGTACCAAAGTCGGTGGATCACTGGATAATGTCATCATCAAAACCTACAATGGGGGTTGTATAAACATCCAAGCCATGATTACGGATGATAAACGTGTACTTACTTTGAGTGGTGGCAGTTTTGCAAAGGGAGCATGACCAGTCGCAAGTTCAATGGATGTGATACCAAAGCTCCAAATGTCCGCCTTGTAATCATACGCTGTTTGCTCCATCACTTCAGGTGCCATCCAACAAGGCTAATGATAAATCCGGCGTCAGTATCATCATTGTCGTCTCATGTGAACCCAAAAGAACAAAAAAAGCTGTTGCTGCAGTCCCAAAACCTACCGTGCCGACAAAAGTCTTGCGTACACCTCGTTCACCATAATCTGACAGAGACCCAGAGACACCAAAGTCACCCAAAAGCACAGCGCCATCATGATCCATCAATAGATTCCCAGCCTTGACATCGCGATGAATATGTCCATTTCTGTGAAGATACGCTAACCCTTCCAAGGCTTGTTTCAAAATAGTGGCAATGTTGCTTTCATCCAATCCATCACGGAACTGCGTCTTTATGATATCCAAACAAGAGCCTACATGACATCATTTGTTCCCCCATCAGGTTTCTTTTCACACGTGACCCGAGTTACTCTTATTACCTCCTGCAAGATAGGGGGTCACGATGTACAATTTAGATCCATCAACAAATGATCCAAGAACGCGGAGTACATTGGGATGTCTTGATAAGGCCATTAATGCTGTTTCTCTCTACATGTATAAAGCAACAATAAATGAATGATTCATCATTGTATACACTCAAACACACAAACACTTACCCTTAACTCATCAATCTGATTACGCTCAAACATATCCAAGTCGATCATTTTGAGAGCCACACGCTGATTCGTAGGCTTGTAGATAGCACTGTAGACAATAGCAGATGAGCCATAGCCTAAAAGGGTTACAAGTAAATGATCTTATCCAGGAGGTTGCATATCCTTTCTATTACCAATAGGGCACTTGATAACAAAGTCATCGATATTATTCATCAAATGAGTCTCGTCCGTTGCTGCTGTTGTGCTGGAAGGAATGGGCGACACTGGTATTGAACGATCGTGTTGCACGACATTGGTGTTAATCTTCAATGCGTTGCTGGTGGCATCGAGCGATTGCTTTTGTGGATGAATGGAAGTAGAATGACCACTGGAAGAACGTGTAATGAGAATAGGATAAGCTGGTGCACTTGCTGAGAGCGGTGGGTCGTTGTTGAAGGGTCGAGAGGAAGAAGGAGGTGGAGGAACCGGATGTCTCGGGTTGTCTTCCGATAAAAGATCACTGTGCCCTGTCATAAGCATCTTGTGGGTTATTGATGTGGATCAAGAACAGATGAAGAAAAGGAGAAAGAAGAAAGAGAGAGAAAGAAAGAAGAGCTGTAACAATGTCCACATGTAAGATCAAGCTTCCCTTTGCATGTATTGCCACATCAGGTCGTCATGCAGCCACATGCATATTTGTTTCAAATACAGATGTGGGTTTCGCATTTCTTTAAGGGGTTCTTTTTTAGAGATACGATATTATTCCCCCAAATGACAGTGTCAGCACATGCACACGCGCACATACACATACGAAAGATAATGCATTCTTTTACATACTGGCATGTGTAGCGATGGATCATGTATGTAGGCAAGCAAAGTATGTAAGAGATGATGATGATCGAATGTAGTTGCATCTTGTGATACCACATGAAAAAGTAGTAGTAGTAGTAGTAGCGCGATTAACAAAGGACTGATAGAAAAAGTGAAGATGAAACAACTATGGATAATATTGCTTGTATAAATTAACATCATTCTAGACCATAGCTATTACAATGTACTAGTACTCTGCTAGGAGGGTTGATAAATTTGTGGCAATGATCGGCATTGCTGGTATTACTATTACGATGAATGCTTTTGGAAATGATTGTGTTGCGGGAAGTGCATATGTAAATGGGTAATGGGCGTGTGAGAGTGAGAATATTGGATTGGGAAAAAAAAGAGTAGCGAGGAGGATATACAATAATATTAAATGGATATGCAAATGGATTACCGGAAGGAAGAAGCCAGACCAGCGGGCGTTTCAGTCAACCGAGCAACTTCAGAATACATTTGTAAAGCACGCAAAATGTGCATAGAATCAAGATCGATTGCTTCACCAAGCTTCTCCAATACATTGGCAAAGTGTCCAACCTTTTGTAAATAAAGTGCAGATACAGCATTCTATAATCCAATCAACACATGAGTCTTTTCTCTCTCTTTTTCCACGCATAGACGACTGATAACTTTACCTCCAAACGAGCAACAAAGTTCTCCATAAGTGTAACAAGCTCCTCATCCGTGGCATCATTCATGATATGTCTCTCAAGTAAACGTTGAATTTTGCCTGTTGCAGCTTTCGACATTGGATTGGCTTTGACGAGTTGCTTGTTTGATGGTTGGCCAAAGAGTTGTTCTGTTGTCAAGTTTTCCAATCGAAGAGCAAGCGTGCATAGCGAATGAACAAGCGTAGGATCAATAACACGAATCGCATTTGTTCCCTTTTTGTTTAGACCAGGTTGACCCATATCAGAAGAGGCTCGCTCTTGGATGTCCGTATGAGGCGAAATGCTACGTGTCTCTGGATTCAAATGGGGTGATGGTGATGGGCTGTTGATAACAGGTACACTGGCAGGAGATGGCACAGCAGGAGGTTCTTGCAATTGATCCCGTTCCATACGACCTTCAAGTTGCTTTGGATAAACGAAGCTGAGCATCTCAGGTGTTTCCAAGCCTTTAAGACGACGCATGCCCAATTCCATCACTCTAAATCCCAAGCGTTTCAATTGTTGGATGTCACGGTTGATAAGATAGTTGCCTGTCGACATGGCCTTGTCATCCAAGCCAAGCGTATCGTCATCCAATACACCAGGGAAGTTGCGTAGCGCTGCCACCACATCCGAAGAGACACAAATTTGCCCACCATCAGCAGCATTACAGATACGACTTGCTTTGTTCACCACAGGGCCAAAATAATCCATACGGCTGGTGATTGGGTTGCGTTCAAATACGGGTGTACCCCAATGAATGCCCATGCGTACCGATAAACCTCGATAAATGGTAACCGAATCCTTTTCAATTTCACGACATTCTTCACTGGATAAGATACCAGCCGGCCAATCCGCTTCGAGTAGTTGTAATTGTACAGTGAAGCACCATAGCAAGGCAGCAGTGATGTTTTGAAAGCATACCATAAATGCATCGCCTTCGGTCTTAACTTCATAGCCACCCACACTTCGCAAAGTTCTCCGCATGACTGCATCATGTATCTTGATGGCCGATCGCATGTTTTCAGGCTGTGTTTCCCATAACAATGTAGAGCTCTTGATATCCGTAAACACCAAAGCGACCTGATTGATGGGTGGAGGCACCTCACGATCCAAACGAGCCAATGTCTAAAAAAATAAAACAATTTGTCAACATGTTGTTTACCTTTATCATTGATCTTTTCCAACTTACCGAATCACCTGGACCTTCTTCTTTGCCACGACGTTTGAGTTTGCCAGTGAGCATACCAGTAGGAGCCAATGGTACATCATCCAAAAGAATGCCTGCAGTATCCACGCCTGTTCCACCACGACCAAGGCCACGCATGATACGACCTCGCTTATCACGCTTGTCAAACAAGTCACCAACACCAATCACCATCACCATAAGATCACGTTCAGCACCATAGGTGATAGCAAAATCGCGTAGCTTTTGGGCTGCTGCCATAAGGTCGTCCTTTTCAGTGCGTGCGACATCCACGGCTGTTTGATAGCTCATCCGTTCCCATAAGCCTGGTGATGCCATAATGACAAATTCGTCATTTTCGGTGAGTTCAATGGTGGCGACGTAGGGGTTGGCGTTAACAACGGGGATCAAATCAAAATAACCAAATCCTCTTGAGACCTTGAGCTCATTGTTCAGTTTGCCAGTGTGGGAAACATAGCCGCCAGCAGCACGGATACGAGAGATCTCACTTGGATTGAGAGAAATGTGCTTATGCGTAATCTCGAATGCTTGTCCATTGTTACGAGATATCACCGCCATAGCATCACCGACATTCGCCACATACAACTTGGTACCAGCCACGTAGCACACCACGGCAGATGCACCAGCATCCTTTTCATCCATGAGTTCAGTACCAAGTCCTTTTTCCAAAGACAAAAACGCACGACGCATAGCACTGACAACGGTATCATCATTCTTCAACTTTCGCAGCTCCGTTTCCAAATGCGTTGTGAGCTGATCATTCAAGTACTTTGTAAGCTTGCAACCCGTTCTTGAGCTCTTTCGACCATCAAACAAGCCAAAGACGCATTCATCGTCGCTGTTACGAAATCGTGGCATGACCAAATCCCAAGTACTCAGATGCTCATTGGATCCCAGCCAATCAGCAACACCATAGGCCATATTGTTCACCTCTGAAAGGGATGTACGCACACGTCGATCTTGGGTTTCTTCAGGTGTCACCACTCCAAGAATCGTAAGGTCCATCAAACCCAGCATCCTTAATCGAGTCAATGCACCAAAATCTGCCAAATCCTTTTCCTTGGGACCATGAAGCTCTGGATGGGTTTTTTTGATCGCTAGACGTTTGTTTCCTGATAGATTCAAAAACTTGAGGCTAAGATTCCAGTTCCTAAAGGAAAAAACATTATTAATACCTCTACTTCCAAAGCATCACAATACCACAATACACATACCAATTCCAATCATACGGCCAATTGGCAATATTGTACTTTAAAACATTGCTTCCCACATCGAGGACCAACAACTTGCGTAACTTGCCAATCTCAGCAGGAAGCGTCTGAAGCTTGTTTCCATTGACAGCCAATACACGTAGGTAGCTCAACTTTTCAATGTCGTCTGCCGGCAAGGAGGTGAGATGATTTCCCGAAAGATATAACTCGTAAAGGTGTTGATGGCAAAGATGTTCAGGTGGGATTTCATCCAAATCATTGAAAGAAAGATTCAAAGTACGCAACTCCAAAAACATCATGAGAGGAGCCCAAATCTCGTTGCCAAGGCGATTATCACCGAGGAATAGCTTGCGTAATGACAGCGAAAGAGGAGGTGGGTGGTTATGTGGACTTGCAAAGAAAGAAGGAGGATTGAAGTTGGGTGAGGACTGCATACCAGCTGCAGGGCCTGCATTTTCTTGTTGCATAATACTTGTGTCACCACCACCACCTCCTCCTCCTCGAGTAACACCACTATTGTCTTTGGATCCACCACCGCCACCACCACCACCACGACCTGGTACAACGCCTTGTCCAGCATGTCCACCCAAGGGTTTAGGTAGGACGTTTTCCAATGTTGCATTAGGAACCATGGAACCCTCGCCTTGTGATGCCATAGGAAGATGCAATGCTACACCGGATGCTGTGAATGGTTTTGGAAACGTCTCCAGCAGATTGGAAGAGCAATTGAGTTCATGCAAGGATGGGCATAACCATATCTCGGGTGGCAAAAACTTGAGATTGTTCTTTTGTGCATCCAGCACCTTGAGCTCGCTCAACTTTGAAATCTCGGCTGGTAGGCTGTCAAGAATGTTGTCCTGCACTGAGAGTTCTACCAATTTGCGTAATGCACCAATACTCGAAGGAATAAAGCTCAAGGTGTTATTGTCGAGGATCAACTTTTCCACATTGGGCATCCCGTAAAAGAGATCTTCAGGCAATGATGAGAGCATACAACTCGAGATATTCAAATCGGTCAACATGGTGCATTGCTGATCGGTGCTGATTGGCTGTGATAATGGTGTCATGGTGTGATCCATCGAAGGGCGTCGAGCAGTATCCCCAATGATGTTGAATTGAGTCAATTGGTTCTTGGTCATCTTGAGCTGTCGTAAACTCTTGAATCGGCATGCCACAATGCTCACGGCATTATAATCAGCAAAGAGGATTTCCAACTTGGGTAAACCACAAAGGACATCAAAGTTGTTGATATGATTTTGCCGAATATCCAATTCCTGCAGCTTCTCCAATTTGGCAAAGCTCTGTGGAAGACTACCAGATAATCGATTGGCGATTGCAAAGAGTCGTGTAAGGTTGACAAGATTGCCGATCTCATCAGGGAATTCTTGTACTTTGTTGAAGCTGATATCAAGAAATTGAAGGCTGACAATATCACAAATGGCTTCTGGAAATGTGGTGAAATCATTGTTGGACATGAAGAGCATCGATAATTGCTTGAATGTTCCAAATGAGCGTGGTATTTGAGATAAACAATTGTTGTATACGCGTAGTGTCTTTAATCCCGTGATCTCTTCCAATCGAGCATGCTGTAAGTCTCGTAATCGATTGCCGGAAATGTTGAGATGTTCAAGGTCACGCACATAATGTATGGATTGTGGAATGGTGACATAATCATTGTTGGCCAGCCAAAGTTGCTTAAGGTGTCGACAATTATGAATAAAGTCGACAGGGATATCCATTTGCAGGTTTTTCGATAGATCCAATGAAACGATTCGTGATGCGTATTTGTACAATGATACTGGTATAGCTGGAAGATTGCGTGCCTGTAAATCGATATGCTGCTGTTCACTGTAATCCACATCTTCAGGAATGGTGTGCGGTACGTTGGGTCCAAATATGAATCGTAGAAGATACGAGTTGTCTTCTCTGCCAACATCTGCAATATTGTCTTGCTCGGAATATCCCATGTACTCAAACAACGTCTTTTGGATCTGCAATGGCCTTTCAGATAGTTGTAAAACACGCTCTAAAGTATACATAATAAGTATATTGTCTTTGGTGCCCATCCCATCATGTATACACATACCTAGATTATGACGTTTGAGCGTCAAACAAAGTTTGCTCTGATCATGCATAAAGAACTTTGCGGCCAATCTTTGAACGATGTCGGCAGTGGTAATATCAAGCGGTAGTTGCAAGGTCGTAAATGTGCCATCGGTGCGGAATATTCGAATACAATACTAGTAGCTTGTATGAGGAACCTTGTTTTTCATCCATCATCCATGATTCAACTTACATTCTTCCTTTGGACATCATAATTGCGTGGTTCCATGGCTGAGTAATCATCATATTCGGTCGCTTCATTATCAAAGAGGTGTGGTTCCTGAGATGGTGGTCCTCCTGGTTGTTGTACTCCCCAACTATCCGGTGCCTCCCAATGCTCATTTGGATCCTGATTCTTTATCCACAAATGAATACTTTTTTGTCATAGCCTCAATCAACGTTCTTACCTGTGGCAATGGATACATGTTCTTTCGATATGGATGCTGCATGCCTTGATATGATGGATTAACGATGCCTTCCATAGAAGCAAAGTCTTGGTCAATGTATACTAGACGACATTTGAGATAAGCATATTTGGATGATACGCACCGACGCTGACTTACAATCAAAGTTGTTCTATTGACAAAATCAGTACACAAAGATCTCCATATTTCATCATCCAAAACATACCTTTCCACGTGACCCACTATTGGATTGAATGATACTACTGCCACCATCCGATCTTTCCCGATCTTTTCCCTTTCGTGATGTATAGGAGCCTGATGACTTTTTGCGTACAGTCTGAGTACCATAAGGGCTTCTTCGACCTGGGTCATCAATTCCTAAAGCATCGAGCGGATGTGGATGTCGATTTTCATACTCCGTTCCTTGCTTGTATGGATGATGGCTGCTGAGTGATACTGATGATGCATTGGATTGTAAAGCAGAGGATGAAGAAGCATTCGGTGGCGCTATTACACATTGAACCCTTAGATACAACATCGATGATGAAGTGCCTTTCTTTTACCATACCTTTTTTCTTTCCAAACCGAAATAAAGTCTTTTTCTTGTCCTTTGGATGCGAATAACCTGACATTTGACTTGCATCCGTTGCTGTTGCTAAGAGAATGAATATATAAGCATCCTATCAGCAGGAGATACGGGTGACTCTTACGATAGTGTAGACTTGGTGCGCCATTGTCATATTCAGCCGAGCCGGTTCGTTTGTGATGCACAGCTGCTAATGGATGAATTCCCGTTGTTGGAGCAGCTGCATTGGTGGTTGTGGGTTGTGCATGGGAGTGCATAAAAAAGCTGTCTCCAATGTGTCGGCCACCTCTTGGGTAAGGGATCGGGTTTCTCTTTTTGGGTTGATTGGCACGTCCGTTTGTTGGAGCATTGTGGGAAGACATGACAAGATGAAGTAGTGGCGACGAGCAAGTGTCGTGGAAAGTGAATCAGGTATATGACACGTATACGAGAGCGTGTTGAAGGATGTCTCGATAAGTATAGTGAGGATATAATATATTATGTATGTGTTGTGTGTGCGTGTGTGTGTGTGTCAGGCTGGAAAGAATGAAAGAAAGAGAGAGAGAGATGCTCGCGTGACGGGGCGAGGGATAAGATAGGTTGCCCTTTCAACATGGTAATTCATGATACACTCCGCGTAAGAGTCGTTTCAGCAGGACAATCTTCACAACGAATCTTCCTTTATTATCCTTTCAGTATAAAGAGGCAACATTACACAAATAACTTGGATATTAGGGAATCATGCGTGCATCGTTTCTGTACCTAGATTGAACCACGTTGATGGTTATTTTTGTTCAATTATACCTCGTTGATGATATTGGATCATGAAAACCCAGTAATAAATGATATAATAAGACTACTTCATAATGCAACATGATGATTGTAAAAGACTTTATACTGTAAAGTAGCTTACTTTCCCCTTCTATCCACACGACTATACCCCATACTAACTACGCATGATAATGCACGACTCATTAAATGAATAGCTAGTGGTTCATCTAGTACTAAAAACAAATGAGTGCTTTGAATTGGAGGTACGTATCCTTGCTTACCATGCAAAGAGAATACACGTGATGTAAGTGCATTGGCAGAGGAGCATTCATTGGCTGCCTATAATTGGATAGTGAGTGGGTGTTTTTATCCCGCTCCACATTCAATGATGCCAATTCATATCTTTAGCTTTTCGCATCCATGTACAAGACGAGGCAGCTACTGTCTTTTGGAGCTTTACCTGTTACAGCGGGTGCAGCAGTTGCTGTAGCAAGGACAGGACCACCGGACACTGTCTACATCTCGGTCGCATTCTCATGTCTCGCCGCGTTCATGACCTGGAAGACATTACCACGGCTACGACAACCATTCTTGAATGCAAAACTCTCGGGCATCGATGTGCTTAAACGAAGTCGTCCAGTCATGTGAGTATGGTAATCCTTGAAGGCCGCCATAGATATCGATGGTGTTGCTGATACTCAATTGCTAGAGCTGAAGCCATGGGATTTCCAACAGCTGTCATTTATTTGATCACCATGTTCTGCTTTATGCCCTTTCCCTTTATAGGGTGGTTTGACGGTGAAGCGCGTTTATTGCATGAAGATGATCCCATGATTGGTACTTTTCCCTATCACAAGGTATGTATCTTTATTGTATTGTGTATCTCTTTATCTTCTCAACAACAATGAAACATGATCATGTATCTAGCTTGGTGAATTCCTCTCGGCTGTGCTTGCAATTCAATCCATGGTCCTCTTGGGGTTTGCAGATGATATCCTAGATGTACGATGGCGGTACAAGATATGGTTTCCAGCTGTAGCCAGTATTCCATTGTTGATCTTTTATTATACCAACTTTGGCGTTACACACGTTGTCATGCCCTTGCAACTGCGACCATTGCTAGGTGATCTCGTCGATCTTGGTAAGTCCGACACCATTTCCTATGCAAGGTATCCTTCGCTTACTTTATGATTAGGTGTATTATACTATGTATACATGTTGATGCTCGTTGTATTTTGCACCCATACCATCAATATCCTTGCAGGCATCAATGGGATCGAAGCTGGTCAAGCACTCGTGATTGCGATTTCAGTCCTCGTCAATGATTTGCTCTTTCTATTCAACAATTCAAACAAGGCGAGCGTCGAGGCTCATTTATTCAGTCTTTATTTCATGTTGCCTTTCATTGGGGTGACGAGTGCGCTCTTGTGGCATAATTGGTAAGTTTTCCCAGTGGTTGTTTATGGACTATAAGCTGACAAGGAGCGAAAAAGGTTCCCTGCTCGATTGTTTGTAGGGGATACGTACTGCTATTTCGCCGGCATGACATTTGCAGTAGTCGGTATCCTGGGCCATTTCTCCAAAACATTGGTCCTCTTTTTCATTCCTCAAATCTTCAACTTTTTATATTCGTGCCCACAGCTCTTTCGATTGATCGAATGCCCAAGACATCGCATGCCGCACTTTAATCCAACCACTGGAAAGCTCGAATGTAGTACAGTGACCTTTGATAAGAAGCCGATATCAAGATTAGGATCATGTGCATTGAAGATACTCTATGTGCTTGGATTGGTCAAAGTGATTCGAAGAGATGATCAAGGAAGGATATTGGAGTGCAACAACCTCACCATCATCAACCTGGTTCTATCAAGATTCGGCCCAATGACCGAGCGTAATACTACAAGAGCTGTACTATTCATTCAAATCTTGTGTAGTTTACTTGCATTCTTTATTCGATACAAGCTTGTCCAATATGTATATTAGAAAATAAAACTACTACGTGTAATATTGCATGAAAGGGAAGGTAGCCGGCGGTGTTACACACTTGAATGAAACCCAATTTGGTCTGAGGTGACTGTGATACGAAGCTGCCGGCAGGTTGACTCCACTTATCTCTCAGCATTGGCAATGTCGGATTACTCTGATCGTTCAGACCTTTCAGACGATGACACCAAACAACAGCAAGCTGAAAGTAGTGCTTCAGCAAGCGCTTCTGCTCCAAGAATCAAACTGAAACTACGTCTCAATGCGACAGCATCTTCAGCGTCCACCGTTAATGTTCCACCACCTCCAGCTGATTCCGACGACGATAGCAGCCATCGCAAAAAGAAGAAGCACAAGAGCAAGGATAAGAAGAAGCGTTCTCACAAGAAGCGTAAAAAGAGAAGCCAAGGCACGGATGATGATGATAACAGCAGCCTTACGCACCATTATGATATGGATAGCGATGTATACAACCACCGATCAAACACCAGCGACCTTGAAACAATGGATGATCAACAACAACAACAACACGCCTATTATGGTGGCAAACGACCTTTTTCAATGATCCAAGAAGAGGAAGAGAACGACAACAACAACAACAATGACAATGATCACGATGATTATCATGGTGGCAACATGGAAGAGGATATGTATCCACAGCAACACACGAGCACAGTACATCCAACCGATTATCATATGGCAACCGAAACGCATGATGAGCATGGATACGTAAAGACTGAATCAATGGATCACGTGATACATCCTACCAGCACATCCAATGGACGACACAAAAAGAGCAGGACGCTATCAAACGCATCATCAACAACCAAAGCTGCGCCAAAGAAACGAGGACGACCAGCAAAGAATAAGACACAACCCAAGCCTGAACCACGTATTGTTGATCAGCCCAAGAAAGATTTGAAGACTGTATGCAGCAAGCTTCTTGATTCATTTATAAAGTAAGTTGTATCTTGGCATCGTTGAAGGTGCATTTACTTATTCCTTGCATCTCTTATAGGAAAGATTCATATGGCATCTTCCATTATCCTGTGGATACCACACTTGTTCAGGACTATTTGGATATCATCAAGAACCCAATGGATTTTTCTACCATGAGCCAAAAGCTTGAGAATGGCAGCTATGAAGATTTGGAAAGCTTTAAGCAAGATGTGCTGCTTATCACTAGAAACTCTCGCACCTACAATGCACCACACACAATCTACGCCAAGCAAGCCGACCGAATTGAAGATTATGCCATCAAAGCGATCGACAAAGCCGCAAAGACAATCGTTTATGGCTCACCCCAGCAACAAGACAACACAACACCTTATACAGAGCAACATGGTTGGTCACCACGACGATTATCCAGCGTATCAGTATCACGCAAGGACTCGAATGTAAAGATGGAAGAAGAAGTGGATATCCTTGGACTCGATAATACCAGCAGCTATTCAGCAGCAGCACCTTCACGGAAAGCAAGTCGACCTATGCTTGACGATGTGGGCAGTTCAAGAGCAGTGACGCCAACCAAGAGCAGCAGCACAACCAAAAAGAAAAAGAAAAAGGTGACGGATGCCGGGGTTGTTTATAGCCCTGATGGATCTTTGGTGTCGATTGGTGGAGGTAAGTTGTTGTATTAAACAAGTATAGATGTATTCTTTTGTACTAAGTCCATTTTGCTATTTATGTATAAAACAGCGGACGTCTCGATGCTTATCCCACAAGAGCGCCACTTTGCATATTTACCTGAGATTACGACCACAAACTTACAAGCTTTACCCTCCGCTTTCTTCACCAATCGTAACACATATGACGAATGGTCGAGCAACAAGCATTTCATCCATCCTGCCAACTTTTGTGACTATGGTGCATTCACAGCGCTAGGCCAAGAGACACCAGGTGCATTCTATACAGCACAAGATGCTTGTTACATTTATCCATTGTATGGCGATGATCGAGGCGAGGCATACATTCGTAGCTTATGGGACTTTGTGGATGATCTGGATTTGAAGGACGTGGTGGATCAAAAAACACGACAATTGACTCGAGGCGCTTGGGATGTTTTGAAACAAGCCTTGAAGGGTCCAGAAAATGGGTCTGATGTTGATACCGAGTTTGGCACAATTCACGCCGCTGACTACAAACAAGCTTACGACAATGTGATGGAAGATAGTAAAGCTGCACCTTCATCTTCTTCTACTACTACTACGACTACCCCTACTCCTGCTCCTGCTGCTGCTTCATCCTCACAATAAAAAGGAAATGTCGTACATTTTCAAACAAGTGCAATGTGTGGAATGCATATGATTGTGTCTTTGTGTGTCCGCGTACACATGTCCGAATTCAGACAACATTGGATGGGTACGGTTACAGTGAATACTATTATGTTACACAACGGGTGCACCACCAAGTGAAACCAGAATTTAAGAGAGATCCTCGCAAGGAACACTGCCATTCACTGCTTTTTCCTTTCCTTTGTGCTTTAGGCATTGCAAGTTCCCACCCACCCACACATCCTCTTATCATGAAGTCTATTGTCGCTGCCATTGCCGCTTTGGCCTTTACCGTTGTCTCCGCTCAGGGACAAGTAGGCATTGTTTCGGTCACTTCCCCCACATCTGGTACCGTTTTCAAGGCTGGTGAGGATGCTCGTATCAGCTGGTAAGTGGAAAATTCCATGCTTGAAAAAAAAAAGATATTCATGGTCATTATCATCCTCCCTCAAGGATCAATGCCAATGTGGATACCATCTCCCAAATTGAACTTGCCAACGGTGACCCATCCAATCTTAACCACCTTAATGTGATTGCCACTGATGTCGATGCTGATTCTGGCGAGTACACTTGGTCTGTTCCTTCCGATATCCAACCTGGCACTGATTGTAAGTATACCAAAAAAGAGGAATTACAACTCATCTAACCACGTACAACATGATTCATGTAATAGATGCTTTGATCTTTGGTGATGGTGCTGATGTTGCTTATAGCCCTCAATTCACCATTGAAGGTGGCAATGGCACTTGTAAGTTGTGAGGTTAAAAATCTCTATTGTTGTATGTATATTAATTCTCTTTCATAATAGCCCCGACATCATCCGCTGCTGAATCTGGTGCAAGCAGCTCTGCAGCAGCTAGCAGCACAGCTGCTGAATCCTCTGCCGCTTCTTCATCGGCTGTTGCCTCAAGCACCTCGGAAGCCGCGTCATCCTCTGCTGCTTCAAGCTCCTCAGCTGCTTCTTCAGGTGCCAGCTCCTCACAATCAGCTAGTGAATCCGCCTCCTCTTCCGCTGGTGATGCTGAACAAACCGATGAAAGTGCTGCTATCAAGTCGCAACCTGCTGCTATGGCTGCTCTTGTTGTTGCCGGTGCTGCTGCCATTGCCATGGTCTAAAACAAGACTAGCCTTGTGCGATCTCAATCCTATTCACCTTGACAGCAAGCAAACCCTGTACTAGTAGCATTTGTCTTGGTCAACAATAATAATACATTTTAGTTCGTTTTTCATTCAACGCGTCTTTATTGTTACACAACTGAATATTAGGATTGCAAGTGACATGAATGTATATAGGGAGGGAAAAATGCCAAGGAGAATCAAAACGGGACGGCCCGAAAATTGCTCTAGAGAACAAGAAAGAGAAGACAATTGGTCTTATCAAGTTACTCTTTTACTCCATCTCAGGCATTTCATCGAACATCAAAGACCTTTTTTCAATCGGGGTTTGTGCTACGTGATGCAAAAGTGAGTGAGAAAGAAGAGCGATGGACCAACAGACGAGCGATTCATCATTATCAAGCCTATGTCTTCGACCATCACGTTGCTCTTCACTGTGATCCCTCCTTTTTCTCTATCGAATCTCGCTATCCTCATTATATCGCCTTTGGAGTCTTGATCTTCGCTTTCGATTCTTATCAGGAAGCTATCGACTGCTACGATGACATACATGATCATGTCTCTTCTCTTCTCGATGAAAATATACTCTCACACGACAAATTACAGCATTAAATGAGCTACCACCACAATAAACTCCATAGACGAGAGACAAGAGACTGTTTATTGCTATATCGATATAGTCTACAAAGCCAGAGAGGAAGCAGCTGTCGTATAAAAAAGCCCGAGTGGATGCACCATGAAGGCGATAATAGAAGAGAAAAAAAAAGTGTAATGGAATCTAACTCGTGGCACCCGACACATTGAGGAAGAGCCTCGAATATGCCTATGGGAGTATGAACAACCGGCCCCATCACTGTTCCAATGTATACAGCAATGAGGGGCAATTGGATTGAAGCCTGGCTAATAGTAAACTAAAGACCCAAGCAACCAAAACAACTGCAACTTCACGAATGAACAACCAATCGTCCAAAGACCCAAGCGCCTCTGAGTATATAGCAACCAGCCCCATCGCTGTTCCAATGTATACAGCAACGAGGGGCAATTGGATTGAAGCCTGGCTAATAGTAAACTAAACACCCAAGCAACCAAAACAACTGCAACTTCACGAGTGAACAACCAGCTGCGCAAGGAAACAAGGACAAGAGAGGATTACGTGGCGCTTTTATGTGTTCCCAGAACCATGGCAACACTCCTATAACTCCGATCGTTCAAGCTTGTTCGCATTTTTGATTGACTTGAAAGCTTTATCGGGCTTTGCTATTTGCACCATGTCGCTTGCACCATCCTTTATTGGAAGCACAATTGCGCAATGCCATGGGATTGGCTGCTGATATCAAAGGCGATCCGATCATTCTCGCTGCTTACCGAACAGGCATACCAATATTGAAAGTAGGTTGACAACATCATGGTAAGACACCTTTTTAATAACGGGGATGTGCATTAGGCGTGCAAGTAATTGATTTTCTTGATAGATTACATCACCTGCATTAGGCGTACAAGTGATTGATTTCATTGATAGATCACCCGCCCTAATTTAGACGATGTATGCATACACAACATTAGACCTAGGCCCTTCAGGCTTAATCCTGGTATATGCGCCCTCATCACTTTATCAGCTCATATGCGTCAATTTATCGATCCATTATCCCCAACAGACAAATACCCACGCCAACAATGCACAATAAAAGGATGTTGTCGCCACCCATCCTACTCCCACACGTCTCTGTCCTCTCTCCTCCTTCTTCTTTGATTGCTTACAAGGCCATAATTTCCAAGACTTTGTACGTATGCCCATTCCTCGCAAGCTTTGTGAACAAGCGCTGATCTTTGTTGTCATTCATAGTGCTTTACTTTCATACTACTCTCATTGCCGTTTGTATTGCGATATTGTATTCTTGTAATGAGGTAAATCCTGATCATGTTATTTGAAGAGTCACTACTCATACATGCTACCTTGTTACTTTCGATAGATATAGCTATCTCCCATGATGCATCTTTTGGTTACGGTGCCATGGTCTACGTACGTCGGTGCTGAAGTTGACATGGTGCATTTGACATGGTGCAAATAGCAAAGTCCGTTTTATCGGCTGCCAATGTTTTGTGAACTTGTTAACCATGCACCATCAAAGATAAAGGCTATCCGCACCCATGCACTGGTGTTTCAGGTAATAATTCCTCAAGAAGGTTGTATTGACAATGACAATCTAACAGCTAAATCAGGTCTACAAGTGGATCACCTTATCATGGATTTACTCCAAGGAGATGTATGTCGTGTGAGCAGACTGGAAAGATGGCTCAAATACCCGATTTTTCCCAGAGCGCTTCATATGCGAATTTGTCCCAATGGCACAAATTGCATCTAACGCCAAAATATCAATGGAGCAAGTTCAGCGGGGAAGTTGGCATGGAATGCACACTACAGCAAAACAATCAAAAACGCCAATGATAAAGCCATCCAATTATATCAAAGCTCCCATCCGCACATATTCAACATTCCCAGGAATGACTTGTAAATACCTTCACCATCATTGTCTGTATATCCATTTGTACATATCAATGTGATACGTATTAATAGGTAGACAGAGATCGAGGAAAAGAGCGAGTCGGGCGAATCGGTTATCTCATTCACACGCCTATTTGAATAACCCTAAAATCCTATATCTCACACACACACACACACTCTCTCTCTCTCCCTCTCTCTCTTTTTCGCTCTTTTCTTTTGCATAGACCCATTGACAATGAAATGTAAATGAAAGAACAAGCTACATCAAGTTGTGTTTTTAAAAAGGTGCTTCTAGCCCCAATGACATGGTCCGTGCATAAAGTGATAACACCATGTTGAGCTGTGTGTGCTTCCAAAATTGCCAATTTGGTTGGTGCCTCGTATCATTCATTCATTCCCCATATTTGATTGTCTCGAATTGAATCATCATTACTGCCTCCTGCAAGATTTAGTGAGTGGATCATGCATAACATGCTATCCTATTAGAGCAAAAACGCACCAGATTTGGCAAGTTGTAAACGACGATGATGCTATGGTATGAGTGTGTGTGTGTGGTTTGTGTGGTAGTGATGTTGATCAACTCCGGTGATAGTGGTACGCCCTTCAACTTTTGTTGACGTTCTCCTCCAAGCACCATTCCCTCCACCCCCACCTGCCTACTCTCCTCTTGCTCATTTGCCACTCTATTTTCCCTTGAACTCGTCAATGGATGCCAACAAAAACATTCAGAGCTACTTGAGCCGGCATCACATTACTGAAAATCGTCAAGAGACTGAAAGAAGGTAACGGCAACCAGGTCATGACGTGCCTTGACAACAGCCATTTGACAACGTTACACCTTTCAGGGCGCGTGCATTGCAACAATTACGTGGCCTGATCCCTGAGCTCATATCGCGCATTACACAAACCTCTTCTGTCAAGCGAGACAACTTTGAATGTCAACTACAGCCGTTTGGTTCCTATGGTCTCGGCGGCTATATCACTGGAGCCGACATTGATCTAGTCTTTCTTGGTGCAGCACCTGTACGCCGAAAACAATTCTTCAGCATCTTTCCTCAATTATTGAAAAGAACATCTCGAGTTGCCAACGTCGAAGTAAGTCATCATCCATCATCAACAAGAAGATTGTCATAAATCATCTTACATATACATGTCTTCTTTTTTGTAAAGGTCATACGACGTACAGCTGTACCTATCATCAAGTTTGTTTTGGATGGATTTCCAGTATGTGTGGTTGATCACGATGGCCGTGAATGGATGGCTCATTCATATGTATTCGGTAGATCGACATATCCTTTGCCAATCTCCGGGCCAACACAGTCCCAGCAGGCATCAACTTGTTGGATGATAACCTACTTTATGATTTGGATCCCGTATGCGTAGCAAGTTTGGATGGTAATGATTGGGGAGGGAATCATCAAAATGAACATTGACTGATGGAGGATGACAATGAAAATAGGTCCACGGACACAACAATTTATCATGAACAATGTTCGACGGCAACATGTATCAGCATTTCAAATCGCTCTTCAAGTCATCAAGTATTGGGCAAACCAACGATGTCTCTATGGAAAGCAGATTGGCTACTTGAATGGCAGCACATGGACCTTCCTTCTCCTCAAGACATACCTGTTATCCAATCTGGATGCTCCCATGACTGCAGAGACCCTTATATCCGCTTTTTTCAAAACATGGTCAAAATGGGATTGGCGTCACCCTGTCATGCTCACAAAGACAATTCCGACTCTTGGGAACAAGTCACCGGATTATCAAATGATGGTAAGGTTGATATACAAAAGGATCCACAATGTCGATTGTAACCCAAAGTGTGGTTAGACGGACTTTCAAGATGCATATATGCCGATTGTCTCACCATGCTATCCGGTATGCAGTGCGGCGCCCTTTGTCACAAAGTCAACGCGGCAGGTGATTGTGCAAGAGCTTCAGCGTGGTATGTAAAAAGTAGCGTTCATTGTTCTTTTGTTTCATTGTTACTCAACCACCCCCCCCCCGTTCAATTCCACAGCATGTGATATAGTAGAGTATGCTATGGGTGATGCCGATCTTATGTTGGATTTACTCTTTCGCAAGCTGGTGTTCTTTAACCGATTCCACCATTTCCTACAAATCATCATTACAGCAGAAACGCTCAAAAGCAAAGATACATGGTAATTTGGATTATGGAATCATTCGACGACATCATAGTAATGAACGCATCATCTAGGATCCGGAAAATGGCATGCAATATCCCCATGTTTTTACAAATGTTGGAAGGCAATCCGCAATTGGCCCAGATCCATCCATATACCAAGGTTTATTCACAGCTATTCCATTATCGAACGGATCAAGGACGTATGGCTCTTGAGGATGGCAATTTCGAACAAGAGAGTGATTATCGAGCAGGCACATTGAAACCTGGATCATTACACGTTGTATGCTATTTAATCGGTCTCAAACCACAAACACACGATGGTAAGAGTGACACTGAAGCAAGGTGATTGGATGGATTTTATAACTTTTGAATGTATAGGATACCCGGTCATTGACATTTTCCAGCCAGTGGATGATTTCCTCAGAGAATTGGATGGTAAAAGGAACGAAAAGGATCAGGATGTGACGTTTGCAGTAAAAGCAATCAAGAGGTATGAAGATTTAATGTTTATTTGTATGCAAGAAATTGATTTGCTGTTTACCCATGCTAGGAAAGAGGTACCAGACTGGATAAGGACATATGACCAATAAACGACATTTCCTTTTACATAATTCAGCAATAATGGATAGATGAAAAAAGAGAGAAAGAGAGCAAGAGAAAGAGATATATACAATAAGGGTAGCGTCTTGGGAAGGGTGATAGAGAGAGAGAGAGAGAATGCGATTGTATTGCCTCTATGAATAGACAACATCATGGTGGTGATGATGATGATGGTGATAATAATAATGATGATGAACGAGATGGTGATCTAAATGCTTGTATCAAACGATAGTCAACATTCGGAGTGATTGCGTAATAGAAGGACCAAGATGTTGTGCACGTCGCTTGGCTGATGGTAATGCCACCGCACTATCACATGCCGATCGTTTCACAAGGCTGTTTGCTGGTGATAGTGTCTTTTCATTGGTGATGGGTGTAGATGTCGTTGTCGTTGTTGTATTGCTTCTTGGCATGATGGGTTGCTGTTGTTGTTGTTGTTTCACGCTTTGGCGTTTCAATGCAGGTGGTAAAGCATCTTTATCATCGTCAGCAGTGATGGAATGATGAGAACGTTTTGTTCCGCTGATTCTGATGGCATTCATTGAAGAGACGAGTGGTGAAAGAGTAGATGGTGATGATGGTGATGATGATGCATGAATGGATGATTCGGACTTGTTGATGCGGTGTTGCTTGGATACGTCGTCGTTTGTCGCATCGTCTGCAGATTGTGCATGCATCAGCATTTCACAATGTTTGACCCATTCAAGATAGTAGTCTTGTGATACATGAAGCTTGTAGTCAAGAATGAACATCATTTCACGTTCCACCTTGTTGAGATCGGATAAAGGAATCTTGCTATATTCTGCCCATGCCTGAACGTGACAATGAAAGAACGTTAATATCGTTGTACAACATGATAATATGACCCCCAACCAATTAGCCTACCTTGGAGTCGTATGTTGTATCCTCTAAGAATTTAGACGCAAGCATCAAAACCACCGTAAAAAGCCGAGTATCCTTCCATGTCCATGGTGCTTTGTCAAGGGGAACCGTAACTCGTAAACGAAAAAGATATAGAAGTGCAAGGCGTACGGAAGCACATGAACTCTTGGTGATTGTGATGAGCCGGTTGCAAAAGAAGAGCAAGTTCCAGTGTTGTGTTGTCTTTTCGCATTTGTCGATAGTGGACCAAGATTCAGTGCTAGACCTTAATCCAGAAATGACGAGTACCGCCAGCTGAGCAAGTTGATAAGAGTCGTTTGAAGACAATGAGCTGGGGCGAGTCATTGTGATCCTTGGTTGGTCAGGAAGAAGAAGAAGAGGGGAGGAGGGGGGGTGGAATGGGTATGTGTGTATAGGTAGTGTATGTGTGGGTGGATTTATGTAGTATTAGGTAGAAAAGGAAGGAATGTGTTGAATATTTTTCGGTTCAGCCATGATGTCGTGTACCACACAACCCCCTTCTTTATCAACATGGACACCTTTATTCACATCCCGACATGTCAATCACCATAACCCCTCTATGCTACTACACTACTACTACTGCTACTACTAAAACTACATGTCATAATACTCAGTGGATGATACTTGGGAGAACATGCGACGAGAGACAACTCGAAACCGCTTCTTTTTGCTGGTGCTGTTGTTATTGTTGTTGCCAATCTTTCCTACCATTGAGATGTTGTAATAATATGCTTGAGCATTCACGACTACTGTAAGCATGGCACCATTCCTGCTAGATCGAATAAACTGAAAGATGGGTTGAAAGGCGCCTGATGATGCTGGTTCGTCGTTTGTAATGTCGCAATCAAATAACTCCACTTTGGAAAGCATAGGAAGTCGAATCAATGGCATCAGATCTTTAAACTCCATGTAGCGTGTGGAAGCCTTGAGGGATAGATGGGTCAACTTGGATTCAAACATACAATCTGAAAAACATGCCACGCCTTCCTCACTGATCCGATGAGGGTAGTTGCCAAATGAAAGACGCTGAAGGCTGCTGCTGTATTGGGCTGCACACAAAATCTTGTCATCCACTTCTCCTATGATGGTAACATCTGACAATGCTCGTGCTTGGCTGAAAAAGGTCCTGATACCCCGAATCGAACATTGACGCCAATTAATTGTGCCGATATCAAGTTGTCTCAATCGTTCAAGGGATGCAAGCGCTTCAAATACCACATGATGGTTGACAGTCGTACTTCGTAAATACACCACCTCCAGTGCTTGCAATGATCCAAGTAATGATGCGAGTTGGATGGCTGTTAATAATGCAGGTTGCTTGGCGCTGTCAGTATTGCCTTGATCCAATGTAAGATGAAGATTAGAAAGGTTGTTTGATCGAACAAGTGAAAGTAACATCAAACATGCTGCATAGCTTGACCTTGAGTATTCATCTTCGTTCCCATCCGGTGTTGATGTGCTGGCGGTGTTGTGGATATTGACTTGGAATGAGTAAAGGGTGCTGCCGTGTTTGTTGATCAACCGCCGTAATGATCGTGTGGGTGTCGTTGTATGTTGTACATCGTGGCAAATCTCCCTCAAGCCAACAGTAGTGGTATTAGAGGCGATACCAGCAGGTGAAATAATGCTTCCAGCGATGTCTCTGTTGTCCATCCATGTTTTAAATGCGAGCTTCGATAACTTTGGACATCGGTCTTCAAGCGTATCTAACAATCGGTCCATCCACCGTTGATCATGAATGTAACTTGAGGGATCGAGAGTAAGTTTTTCAAGATCGGGACAATGATACAACAGTTGAGGAAGCATATGTGTCAAGGAGGTCGTCATGAGGCAGAGCTGTTTGAGATGGAGAGGGGATTCAAAATGGATATCAGTGTGTGGCGATGTTGGGGTGGTAGCAGAGGGATTGATGATGATCCTAATATCACATACAAAAGATTCAAGATTAGGACAAAGTTGAAAAATGCCCATCAACCAACTAATACTGGTACTATCAAAATGGCTTGCCATTTGACATATGCGGATATGCTTGAGTGCCGTTGCGTTCAGCATCATCAGATCTTGTAGTCCACGTTGACTTCCCATTTGTGCCGTGATGTCTACAAAGTAAGGGATATTAGCCATCAAAAGAACAAAAAAACCTCCATGAGATAAATAACATTTACCTATTGTCTCCACCTGGTTCCAATTGTATTTGACAATATCCTTCAAAGCATCACGCATCATGGTCTTTTCACGAATGGCAAACTTCACCTCACGCACCTTGTCGCCGGGGATATTGGACAAGACAACATCCTTGTTGCGTATGGCTGCACCATCAAGCTCGATTGAACGCCACATGCCAGGCCATCCTGATAGCAAATCACGACGCCAAGCTTTGCATGTAGCTGCAAGTTGTATGCGCGTGGATACAGGTACCATCTCAAATATCTGCGATACAATGTCAAAGGGGAGCGTTTTCTTGGGTGCCTTGGGAACCTCTTGTTGCTGTTGTTGCGGTGCATCGTCGACTTGACAACCAGTCTCCTTGGCAACGGAACAAAGTTCTTCGTATCTGGTATCGTGCTCATCCACATTGGCACATCCAATTTCATATGTCTCGAGTGCTTCCTTCAAATGGCCTTGGTTCACAAGAATATGGCCTGCCAACAAATAGGCATTCACATCGGTCGGGCAAAGTCGCATAACTTGTTGTAAGTCCTCCAGCGCATCACCATGGTTACCAGCCAAGTAACGTATCGTTGCTCGCTTCAATAAATAGAACCAATCGCACCGGTCTATAGCACGCAACATGTCTGTGTATAGTTCTTCGGCAGATCTATAACGCCCGTCTTCAGCAGCTTCGACACCGTAATCATCGAGCCGTTTCAAAAGATCCAGTAGATCAGCATGCTCCTGTAGCACCTGCGTACAAATGCCGGGAATGGAGCTCTTGGTTGTTGCATTGTGCGAAGACATTGTGCTGTTACAGCAATGCCTGTCAAAAGAGTGCAAAAAGTGGAGCGAGAAAGAATCCGGACAGCGTACCTTTCCTTCGCGTATAAGATCAAAAAGTAAGCCCGCCAATGCGCTGCATAATTCACACCCACCCTTTCTCCCTTATAAATTGTACACACACATACACACACTTCCATTCATGACCTTTTTTCAACCCATTCATAAGGATAACAAGTACACGTTACGTCCCTCACATAGCCTATTGTCTAATCTGCAATCAATAAATGAAGGAGTCAAAAGCCTTGTACAAAGAAAAACTGGATAATGATAACACCTCCCTATAATCAATCATCGTTTAACATGGTATTAGATCAATCAATTAATCAATCATGTGTTTGAACGGGCCTCAATTGTTCCTTGTGATTGGAAGTATGACCATAAGTTAATGCTATTCAACATCTCTGTGCCGTGGACGAAGTTGTTGCTCTATCAAGAACTAGAGATACAGCATGTTTATCAGTTCTTTTTGTAGAAAGAGACGACTGGGATAAGCAAAAGCAGAGTAAATGGCTGCCTACTACGTTATTGAGCTCAAGATGGTGAAATAAGATTACTTTTATATCAATTGTAAATTTAGAGATACAAGTGCCTTTATGTTTTACATTTGCTGTAAGCGTGATGCTATATGAAAGGTGGTCTTTGTTCATTGTGAATTAGCTAGACCCTGATAGAGCGAAAGATGCGCAGGGGAGTGTGTGTGTAACAGATCAAAGAAGATACGACTAAAGGATATGATGCTTTATAAACTATTCAATAAGGCGTAAACTGGCAGTTAACATGCACTTCTATCCATTCGCAGCCTTTGTCAATTCCGTAGCAATGGAACGAGGCGCCTGCTCCGGACATTTATTTCCATGATTCAATTATATAGGTACGAGTTGATTTGGCTGAGATACGGTCAAAGAGAGGGTACATGATTCTACACATACAGCATGGTCGATCTACCTCAACTGATGTTTCTTTGTTTGATCGTAGGTCAGCCAAATCAGCTCGGATCAAGCTACTTGAATCATGGAAATGAATCTCTGCAGCAGGAGCATCATTCCCATGTAGTAGATTTCGCAACAATGCTGTCGGGAAAAAAGTGGCTGTTAGCTGCCAATGTATGACCTGAAAACGAGGTATGCATACCTGTCATGCATTGTCCCTGAAGTCCAAACTTTTTAACCCAGTTACACAAACACGTCCCTCTGCATCTTTTGCTCTGCCACGGTCCAGCTACTTCACAATGAACAAAGACCACTCTTCATATAGTATCACGCTTACAAACATAAAGGTGCCTGTATCTCCAAACTTTACAATGAAACGTGGGGTTTTTATTAGAGCAATGGACTCGGCTTGGCCAACAGCACCTTGTGTGAAAGTTTCACGTTCAATGTCGCAACTAGCCCAAAAAATATTTTTTGGTCGTCGTCGTCGAAGAGGTCGACCCCCAGATCCAGTTTGGCTGGTAGCGCCATTGCGAAATCTGGGATTGGCAAGCTTGATCGTGAAACTTGCACCCAAGGTGCAGTTGGCCAGGCCGAGCCCATTGCTCTAATAAAAACCCCACGTTTCATTGTAAAGTT